TTTCATAGATATTTCTTACCCAGTACTTTAGAATATTGAAATGCGTTATTCGATTTTGATAAAAGGACGCACTTTTAACTGTCGGACGCATGGCTTTGAGAAACGAGAGCAGAGTTTTGCGGATCGTAAGTTAGGTTTTCAAAAATATACATCAATATATGAAATATTTCTCTAGCAATTTGGAAAAACTGTAATTCGTTTGCCTCCAAAACTTCTTGACCCTAGACAATATCCTCAGAAAATGGCTCTGAAACTTTCTGATTCATTTCCCATGGCGTCCAGGCTTCAACTGGAAACCACCCACTAAGTGGTATGCTAACAAGAAGCATTTGAATTTCCAGACTGTTCCTTGCATGACGTTCTATATGTGCATTCCAGGTCTAGGACAAAATACGGAGGTTTGGCTGACAAACAACGAAATCGTTGTATTGTCTGAGGAGAGCTTCCGCCCAATGTTGGACATTCTCTCGAAGGGAGATGGAGTCCTCCATTTAGGAGATGGGGTCCTCTATTAAGGTGGGTTTAATGGTTTCTAATGATTGAATGAGGTGTTAAGTTTATTCGTCACTCAATTCATCTACTTCATCACTCTTTTTATTGCGTCCCTATTCCAGGCAATCCTATCCGATACGAATGTGACGTAGCATGGCTTGTTGTCAATCGGAAATTTCTTACGAGCATTTCTGGGAAGTGCCACAATGGAACCGAATTCGCGGATTTGGATGTAGTTGTTATGGAAGACTGTAATCGTCCGTGGAACTTACCGACACCCACAACTCAAGGTGACATCTCTAGTTGCCTGCTTTCACTGTATGAACCTTATATGGCATCCAAACTTTTTGTAGCATGCAAATCTTGGTGTGAAATGGAAAGTTTGGACATTTTGAGCTTCTTAGGTCTTATAGGCATGGCAACTTTGTTGCCTCGAAGACCAAATCAGAATTCAAATTTCACCACCAAAGAGAAACACCAAATGCGAGGTTGCATTCCATGTGGCCGTCTGCTCCTGCCTTCCCCATTTCTTCGGCAACCCCCATCAAGGGTGCAGGTGAGCCGTTTCATCCTCTCCGGGAGGGGAATGGAAGCGCGTTCGGAAAGGACTCACGCTCCTACCGCGAGGCGACGCGCTGTCGAGAGAGAGCTCTCTACGACGGCGTGTGGGCGGGCTTTCCAAGACCTGGAAACCCACCTGAAATTCTTTGGTTGATAGTGTCCACGCCGAGGATTCCCAAGCGGCGCCCATGCAGGGAAAACGAAGAAGAATGTCCACCACGCAGTACACCTTGATGCACATTTTCATGTGGAGAGAGAACGTGATTAATTTAATGAGTGAAATACTATGGTTTCCAGAGCGGAGTGGGAGTCGGATTCCGCCTGCGCACTGACACAACTATGCCGGCAATACAAGTGCGTGAACCCTTGCACGAATGCGTGCGGGGAGAACGCGGGGTGCAGCGTGGAACATCACCGGGCCATCTGCTTCTGCCCCGAAGGTGTGTCGCAGGTTTCTCGTTCCGTAGTAGTACGCAGATTATGTCGTCGATTCAAGCAGATTTTTTTCGCACGAAAATCCCATACATTTCTACAAGGATTTTTGCATCCCGTTCTTAACATCGGATATTGAGTTGTCGTTTCCATCTTTATAAATAAAACGATGAAATCATCTGAAAGGTGATGTCGGCCGTGAGATCGACGGAATTCATTTTCGTATCCGTTCAGATTTCTTGGGAGACCCTCGAACCCGTTGCTACCCGGAATGTACGGTTCACGAGGAGTGCGCCTACCACAAGGCGTGCGTCCACTTTAAATGCAAGGACCCGTGCGTGGGGGCATGCGGGATGAACGCAGAATGCCGCGTGGAGAACCACAAGCCCATCTGCTCCTGCCCAGAAGATTCCACGGGACATCCCTCCCATCACTGCAAGCCCTTACATCCAGGTACGTTCCTCTCTTTTTTCTTCTTCCCTCCCCTCCGGTAGAGTGCGATCGTCGGTCGGAAAGTCGCACGCGATCGTGCGGAAAGGCGTTTCTGCGGCTCTCGGTTCTGGTTCGAGACTGTCACGGGGCATCCGGGATGGGCATCTGTTCCGAGCCGTGCTGGACACGGGCTGGATCGAATCGAACGCCTCGTAAGCGGATTTCCATATTTCTCGGGGAAAATCCGGCTCAACCTGCATCTGGGAGAAATTCAGAGACAAAGAAATGTATTCGCTCGCAAAAATCAGGTTTTTCTCACTTTCGCTTTCGCCTGCGAGCGTTTACGTTCGTATCAGGGACTCCCACAATCGGAATCACACCCAGAGGAATAAAAGAAAAAAAAGACTGGCTTCGCTAAGAAGGGATTCGCGGAACCGTTCATATGTTCTCTTGGAAATACGACTCCCATGAATTTGGATACGAACCACTTCTTCCCAGCAGGGGTGGCTTACCTGCCTCCTCAGCCTGCCTACCTCCTTTGCTTGCATACCTCATCATCGGTTCCAGTCCAATGGGCCAATATAAGCCACTGACCCCATTCCGTAAAATAAATATTCTCATAAATCCAAGCCATGTCTAACCCTGTGTTGTCTCAACTGTGAGGGCATAAGCCACTTTGCTTAAGTGGAGATATTCTTAAATCTGGGATGATGAGATTTTGTGAATGAACACTTTCTTGGCATTTCCCATTAAAGGCTTTGATGGCCTCTTAAGCCACATTCACAAAATTGAAACGTCCTCGTGTTCCTCTCTGAGAGATCTAAAGGAATCAAATTGGGTATACTTCTCATCCTCTTAATGCAGAATTGCATAAAGAAATTCGAAACTTCATTTCTCAGGGGTTGCAGAGAACTCTGATCCTCGTTTTTTTTAAATATGGGGTCATTCCATCATTATTCGATCAGAACGTGAGCTGGATGATCTCGGATTCGAACTAAAATCCCGTTCTCATGGGTTGCCGGATATCGTGCTGAAGTTGTCGGATTCGCGACTGCATCAGCTTCCTTATCGGTGTGTTGATTCCTCTGCTTTCCTTTATGTATGATGCATTTTTCCTGATTTCATTGATGAATTGAGTTTGAAACTATGGTTAGCGATGGCAGATCAATGCGGTAGGATATGGACTCATTCGACATCCCCCCAACAACATCCTTGAATCAAGAGGAACTACGAAATATGAGTGTGCAATACACATCTTTAAGATTTAGCACATCCTAACTGAGGAATTGAGAGGAAGTACTACATTTTACCTTTTGATCATATCCAGAACATTATCAGAAATAGCGTCAACGGTCGTCTAGGTACCGGTTGGCGCAAGGAAAACCGACAATATCTTTCAGAAAACGTATGAGGCAAAGGCGTACAAATCGTATGCATTTATCTTTCTTCTCGGCTTTGCAAGCACGATATATCTATATTTTTAGCTTCAAGATTACACACACCCTCAGCAACTATTCGACTGGGACATCTCGAAAAAGTTTTCATCACACAGAGTTCGGAATGCAAAAGCGGTGTAAGACGTAACTTTTACGCCTCAGCGTCATGATATAGTTAGCGAGTCGAGACTTACAAGACGGACAACTCCATTCCTGAACAGAGAGTCAACATCCAATAGCCCTGGAATGAGATGAATTTTGGAGGAGATTCAAAAGTCCATTGCTAAATGAATAGCAAGATTACCTACCACATGCAACACCATGGTAGGACCCGTTCTGCATATTTCAGACGTGACATGAATATATTCAAGTTAAACGGCCGCAGCGTGTATGCTCTATTCTGTAAAAGTTGATTGTTTTGCTGGAGCCGAGAAGAAAGTTGGATGTCATTTGTCAGCCTCTACCCTCATCTGGAAGTTAATGCGAAACTCTCTGAACAGATTTTAGCCCATGGAAGTTAAAACATGAAAAGGACAGGAAAAGAGCCAATCCCTGAAAATTACCGTGCAACCTGCGTCATCATGAGGCCGCAAGTTCGACTAAACGAGCCCTATTGAAAGTATCTTCAGGCGTTAGGTGCCATAAGCACACAAAAACAGAAAAACCACTTTGGTAGGTCGCCGAGCTACTTTCCGGAGTTCTAGGATTGAATATGTAAGGCAATACCAAGGCAAAAGTAATCCCAGCTTGAGTCCGTCTGCAAGAACCAGTCAACAACAAATACGAGGTCTGATTGAAAAGTTCCAGCATTTTATTTGTAAACATTAATTGTTAACAAGTACATTACAATTAATTATTGTCTTCTTCAAAGTATTCCTCCCTCGATGCCATGCACTTATTGCAACGCTCCTGCAACTTCTAGAAGCAGTGCTGGAAGTCCTGGAGTGTAAGACTCTTAAACTGCCTCGACGCATTTTCATCGATGCTTCCAATGTCTTCAAATATTTTTCCTTTCACGTAAAAGTTAATATTGGGGAATAGGGAAGAGTCACACGGAGCCAAGTCCAGTGAATAGGGAGGGTGGGACGACACATAAAACTTTTTTTAAACCAAAAACTCTATAATTGTGAGAGCAGTATGGGCTGGAGCATTGTCGTGATGCAAACACCAGGCTTCATTTTGGAAAAGTTGGGGTCGTTTTCTTCTATTTTTTTTTCTCGTGGACGTGTTCAAAACATATTTGCAGTAAGCCTGGTTAACTGTCTGGCCTTGTGGGAGAAACTCATCATGCATCAGGATCATGATGCATGATCGAAAATTCGACGAAGAGCACAAGGACGACCGGATTTCAGCACTCGTGATTCGCAACTGGTTAATCCTAGTGCAAAGGAGGTTTTTACATGCATGCGGTTACCCCTATCACTCCTGCCTACACTAGTCCTAAGCCCCCTACCTAAAGGGGTTTATTTTTTAACAAGGAAGTACTGGAACTTTCTGATCAGACCTCGTAGTTCGACCTGTCTCATGGCTAAAATGCATATTTTGACTCGAGCGAAGCATATGTACAGAGCGAATTTCCCTTTATTTGTGCGTGAGTGCATTGGAAAAAATGCAGAAGACACTTTCACAATTTTTTTATTTATTTCAGATATCAAATTTTGCATCTAGTTGAATCAATTGTGATTTGTCAGAAGCCAATAAATATTTTCCTGTTGATCCACTGGGTGAACCTGATGGGAAGAAGTAGAAAAACATATTTTTTAGATGAGAAGGAAGGAGAGGGATGCGAATGGTATAATCGAATTGGATCAACTACAACTCACCTATTAACTTTGGTGAAAATGCCATACTGCCCAGGGCGTCTCATGGAACAAGAACCTTTCTGGAAAAAGTGACTCACGATCCCTTCCATCGTCCAGTGGCTGTCCCGTGATGTATTGGAGAGAAAGACCATGGGACTTCCCGAGTCCCCTGGACAAACTGTTCGAAAATCTGTGCAATAGAAACCATCATGATTATTGTTATTCCCTTCATTCATTACTTTAAAGTATTTTAATGGTATAAAAATGCATGAAGAAGTTTAATGACAATACGCAACTCAACGTTTGTCCATGTCATATTTGCAGTTTTCGGCCATTTTACAGTAATATGCAATGTTACTACCGACAAGTGGCATGTTCTGGCGGTAACTGCATGAACCAGATAATGCTCCCCTTATGTACAGTCAAATGATTCCTATTCCTTCATGGGAGTTAGTGCCCCGGCCAAGTTGTCTATTGAAATACCCTCGTAGAGTTTTCATTAGTTTGACATCTGAGCTTTCACCCTTCCACCAGTCTTAGCGAATGTTACTGTCTTGTTGGCAGTCTCTTTTCCCATACATAGGACTAGCTTTTCCAACCTCCTGCAGTCGATCCATATTGCCTGAACGCCGTAATGTGCCTACATTATAAGAACGTTTTCTGGAGAATTCCGAGCAATGCAGAAGAAATAAAGTTGCCGTGTGATGCGCGGATGAGACAACCTGCCTTCATAGTGCCAAGAATTCATTTCTTCAATTCCTGCATTGCTATGGATTCCAAGGAAGTGCCATTTTCAACTACTTTAACTAAAGCGGCCGGGTAAATACCACACAAGAATTCCCCAAGCGAAAGAGGAAATAATCTTCAGCTTCACTCTTGAGACTGTTACGTAGGACTCTTAAGGCGATTCACACCTTGCGTGTCATGCACCCTTGCACCAATGTTGAGGCAGATAGGCGGACGCACGAGCGGGAAAGCATGTCCACACGCGCATCCTCTAACATTTAATAGCTTTCACAAAGCACGAGACCTGCGTGTGGAATCAGGAGGAGCTGAATTTACTACCTCAGAATGCATTTTGCTAATTTCACGCAATCACGGATCATGATACCATACCTTCAAGAGAAGTATTCGCAGAAAAACCAGCGCAAAACATATTTGAGGTGAGGGTACGAGTGACGCCGGGGTCCCCCGTGAAATGAAGGGTGTCCCGAACACATTTGCGGTTGGATATGACCGGGAGTTGAACCTCCGTCAGGACAGCTGCGAGTTCATCCGAACCGTCATGACCCCAACCGGCCACCTGCATCATTACACAATCGTAGAAGAAACATGCATCAAGAACGCTGGATGTAAAGTTTTTGGCAGAGGTATTAATATATTTTGTGTCGTACCCATCCTGGCACTCCACTGTCGAGTATTGCCTCCGACAAATCAAATCGGTTTGGGAGACATACCAACTGAACTCGAGCCGTTAACACGGCAGGTCTTGTGAGTTTCAATAAAGCTATGTCCGAGTCGTAGTTATTATATACGTTGAAGTCTTTGTGCAAGATAATGTGAGACACCTGGAAGGAGATTGCGATAATTTACATAATCGGGAAAGAATGGATGGACGTTCGAAAATGTTACAAGGTCACTGAACTTGTCTAATCTGCACGTGTTCATCTTTGTTGATATAAGATCGATAATGTTTCCCAAGGTAGAGAAAAATTTCTTCAGGATGGCGAGTTCTGAGGGAACCTTCTACAACGACACAATGGGCAGCTGTCAACACTCATTGTTCCCCAATGAGAGCCCCTCCACAAATAATATCTCCCATCTTGATGTCATAAATGGCCGCTTGCCATGGCCATTCCCCGATTTCAGATGCATTTCCTCCTGCTGAAAGCTGAATTTGACTTTCCTTCTTCCCACATACTGCGTATAGAACGGTACACAGAGTCATTCGGAAATAGCAGAGATGTGTCACGTGAACAGAGAATATGGTACCGACCTGGCTTTCAAAACGGGGTGGGGCCGCTCCATTCTCCATTCTCCGCCCATATCCTGAATTTTGGTCCCTGAAGTTCATAATATTTTTCGCATCTGTATCTAATGATGCTGGAAAATCCATAGGTTTCTTGTTGAATGCAACTTGCGTTGCTTCTTTCAGCAATTCCTTTAGAAAGACTGCCACAAGACTCGATAGTGAAGGATCCATGTTGAATGGTGCTGAGTTGTCCACACCCGATCTCTCCACCTATTGGCAGAAAAAGATAATAAGATAAAAGATAAGAGGATGAGAAGTATACCCAATTTGATTCCTTTAGATCTCTCAGAGAGGAACACGAGGACGTTTCAATTTTGTGAATGTGGCTTAAGAGGCCATCAAAGCCTTTAATGGGAAATGCCAAGAAAGTGTTCATTCACAAAATCTCATCATCCCAGATTTAAGAATATCTCCACTTAAGCAAAGTGGCTTATGCCCTCACAGTTGAGACAACACAGGGTTAGACATGGCTTGGATTTATGAGAATATTTATTTTACGGAATGGGGTCAGTGGCTTATATTGGCCCATTGGACTGGAACCGATGATGAGGTATGCAAGCAAAGGAGGTAGGCAGGCTGAGGAGGCAGGTAAGCCACCCCTGCTGGGAAGAAGTGGTTCGTATCCAAATTCATGGGAGTCGTATTTCCAAGAGAACATATGAACGGTTCCGCGAATCCCTTCTTAGCGAAGCCAGTCTTTTTTTTCTTTTATTCCTCTGGGTGTGATTCCGATTGTGGGAGTCCCTGATACGAACGTAAACGCTCGCAGGCGAAAGCGAAAGTGAGAAAAACCTGATTTTTGCGAGCGAATACATTTCTTTGTCTCTGAATTTCTCCCAGATGCAGGTTGAGCCGGATTTTCCCCGAGAAATATGGAAATCCGCTTACGAGGCGTTCGATTCGATCCAGCCCGTGTCCAGCACGGCTCGGAACAGATGCCCATCCCGGATGCCCCGTGACAGTCTCGAACCAGAACCGAGAGCCGCAGAAACGCCTTTCCGCACGATCGCGTGCGACTTTCCGACCGACGATCGCACTCTACCGGAGGGGAGGGAAGAAGAAAAAAGAGAGGAACGTACCTGGATGTAAGGGCTTGCAGTGATGGGAGGGATGTCCCGTGGAATCTTCTGGGCAGGAGCAGATGGGCTTGTGGTTCTCCACGCGGCATTCTGCGTTCATCCCGCATGCCCCCACGCACGGGTCCTTGCATTTAAAGTGGACGCACGCCTTGTGGTAGGCGCACTCCTCGTGAACCGTACATTCCGGGTAGCAACGGGTTCGAGGGTCTCCCAAGAAATCTGAACGGATACGAAAATGAATTCCGTCGATCTCACGGCCGACATCACCTTTCAGATGATTTCATCGTTTTATTTATAAAGATGGAAACGACAACTCAATATCCGATGTTAAGAACGGGATGCAAAAATCCTTGTAGAAATGTATGGGATTTTCGTGCGAAAAAAATCTGCTTGAATCGACGACATAATCTGCGTACTACTACGGAACGAGAAANAGGAGAACTCTCTAACAGATATTATTGTGCCACATGTGCGCCCCCTGACATTATCGCTTCAAGAAAGGAGATGGGGGCTCCAGCAGGATTCAACACCAGCGAACAAGACCCGGGGCACTCTTAACTGGTGCCAGGATAATTTGCCAGGCTTCATATCTACTACTGAAAGGACCGTCTCCTCACCCGATCTGAATCCTATGGACTATTATGTTTAGTCCAAGTTAGAGCAGATGGCCTCCAGTAGGAACCATCCAAATGTGAAGTCTCTAGAGCGCTCCCTTGTGAACGCAATCTCCCGATGGAAGAGGTGCGTGGTGGTTAATCCATAGTTGGCGAGGAAGATTGTCAACCAGTGCGACGGTAAAACGGGAGTTGCTTTGAAGTTTAATAATCCCCATGTGGAGTTTATGTTGCAAGGATATTTTCGAAATCGGCCGCATCTGTGTCTCAAAATCGATATTCACGAACCAAAATTAATTTTATGAGACGTTATGGTTCACATTGTAATATAGACTTGTGTCATTGCTTCTAGTGTGTAAACGAAAGTAAATCCATTATAATGGATTGTAAGCACCAAAGGATGCAATTAATTTATTTATGATAGGTAAAATTTATTAGGTTTCACATCAATGAAGCATTTTTTCGATGACTTCTGGAATCCAGACCTGGGTTTCTCATTTTCTTCAACCTTAATACTTCAAGTGTTTACATGATCCGCTCCAATTTCGCCATTGATACTCTATGCTGGAAGTCCGGGATCGAAAAAAACTAAGCATTTCGCAACTGTTGGCCAGGAATAGGGTAACGCACAATGGTCTCATATACGTATCTGCAATTTCTCGATTATGAATCATGAATTTCAAAACTTCACGAATTCCTGTGAATGGGAAGGAGACGAGTCTCGCGGATGGATGTCAGCCGTACCAGGCGAAACCGACCAGAACCTTCCCAATGTCTTCATTGAGAGGGTGGACCACTTCTTATAGGTTCCATTGAGTGTCCAGAATAATAATCCCTTATTACTTCATCTGATTGAGGGATGATTGAATGAAGTTCACGGACACTGTACAGTATATTCTGGATCTCCTATGCGGATAAAATCATAAGTGTTCCAAAAGGGTTCTCTATAGGAATATGAGCTTGTTTATGGCCTGGACTCTATGAATATGTCTTGAATATGTGGATAACAAATGATGAAGTACCCGTGTTTATTGATTCCTGTACTGAGACTAGGCGAGACATACGGCAAGGTACTAAACAATCCTGCGAGGGACTATTCCAGGGAAAGAGTGAAGGGAACTTTCGTGTACTGTGTGAAAAGCGAGACCCTTGCCTCCATCTAGGGGCCTGGCGAAGAACTTCAAGGTGTTCACTTCAATACGAGGGGTGAGGGAGCATTTAGTGAGTAATAAGAGAGTAAATTCGAAAAGCTCACGGTGTGCTCACTTTTTACTCCCCAAACGCTCGGGATTTTCTAAGAGTGTAGGGAAGAAATGTCTCAAGGGACTTAGCTTGCAGTGTCCTGGGATTACCTAAAGGTGAAGTAAACATATACGAAGACCAATTCATGGTTAAACAACTGTCAATTGTTCCATCCGTAATGCGTCATTCCATTTTGTGGGCCGGAATAGTTTGAAGTCTCCTTGAACTGAACTATTTCTTTGTGCAAATATTTTTAGAAAGTCAAATAAGTTTCATTATACGAGGTCTGGCAATAAAAGTCCAGGAATGATTTTTTTGTGATTCTGTCAATATCACAAAAATTATTTTCATTACATGGACGGATAGATTAGACCGTTGGACAGTGTTGTGTCAACCCTCATCTGACTAGCATCTTGAATGAGAGTTTGGCTGGCAATGTAGCAGCTCAGTGTGTAAGGCGTCTGTCATATTCCCAGAGTGAAGCAATGCTTCATCACATTTGTCTCAAACCGATAAATACAGTTGCAGTAATCCATGATACGTTGCTGAAGTGTCTTGAAGAGTTCCTTGTTATGCTCCAATAATTTTGAACGACCTTCAAGGCTTTTAGCAAGTAGTGAAGACACTCAGATTGACTTCAACCTCAACCATCACCAACCATTCACGCAAGGGATGACTGAATCAGTCATTATTTTCAATGTCATTCCTACTAGCCGAAAGCCTTGAAAACTATTCAAGATTCTTGGAGTATGACGAGACAACTTGTCAAGACACTTCATGCAACATTTGATGGATCGCTGCAGCTGTATTCCCGGATATATATGTATTGCGCGGTTTCAATGCCAAATGCACGCGTCGCCACCCTGTCTGCTTGAACAGAATGCCTTTCATTCTAAACGGTTATGCGCAGATCTGCGAGGGTCCCTTCGTCCCCCCTCCTTGGTGCAATATGTCATCAGAGACCTGGAGTTCTCCAGATAAGAGTCATATGCGGACTGCAGGCCGGCCATGTCAGCACAACACGATCCGCGGCCCGGTGCAGGAAAGCTCGGTCGGCGATCGCGTTCCGGGTCGGGTGCGGGCCACGATTAGAAACGGGACAATCGAGTTTCAACGCAGAAAAGTCAATACGTGAGGCCTTTGTCGCGCAAAAAAGAAAAACAGGAGAACACGTGAACACGTGAACACGTAGAAACGACGCTCGCAGCGTACTTCTTGGAATTTTGACCCAATATGTATCGCCTCCAGCTCATGAGCTTTCGATTGTCACTTCAATTATTAAAATCCGTTCATCCGTCTAGGAGGAGTTTCCCGGAATGAAAAACATGTTAGCCTTTTATGTAAAAGGAGTCCGAAAAGTCAGTAATCAAAGCTACGTGAATTTAACAGTTTATGAGGCTAAAATCAGGGACGTGGACCATCTCCGTGAGGAGCATGGTTTATCGCCTACAAACGTGTTTTGAGTGAGGTGGTGAAGGTCTGGAACTTCTACTATAAATACTTGCTAATGTAACATAAATTCCCATCGATTCCTGACATTACGGACACCCTGCATATGGATATGGATGGCTGAATGAAGAAATAATAATGCATATAAATTGTGGAGAAAAGGAATGATAAGATAGTGAGTTCAGCGGATACTCAGAACTGCTATATTGTCGCCATCTTGCGTCCATTATGCACTGTAGAAAAAAGTAAGAGATTCTCATGAGATTTTCGAATGGACGCCACCCTGAGGTCTCTATGCTTCGATCCTCATGAGAAACTTCCAAAGCCTCATGAGTAAACACACAATGCTAATGAAGGAGGCGTGAACGCTCGCGTATTGCCTCATGATGATAAAATAATCAGGATATCATCATGAGATATTCAGCCTAACCCATGAGAGAGTTATGATTCATAGTGAGAATAACATCATGAGGACTGCAGCACGAGGACTACATCATGATATTCTCCCGAATCTCAGAAGAAAGTCGAGAGGCCTCATGAGTTTGTAATTAGGTTTTATTTTTAGCAGGGCGTGCATGTAAAGTTATATCAAATTACCTGGACTCATTTTGGAAATATAGCAACTTATCCCAAGTGATTTTGTATCGGGACAGTACAACCGGCCGTTCTCCGAAGCGAACACGCCACCCAGAGAACCCACCGTTCCTCACTTCCACAGAAGCGCGAACCGTACTATGTCCGGAGACACTGTCACTTACCTACAAACGAAAAGACGGCGGGCGCTTGAGGCTTCTCTTCCGCGCCTTAAACAGGCGTGAATAACGCATTCACCATTTTCTGCCGTCCGCATATATAATTCCGGCCATGGTGTCGGCCGTGGAGTTTTGTCATGAGGCACAGAGCCTGACTTCGGCTCATGCGCCCGAACAGTTCAGGACGCACTCCCTTGTTGTTCTCACGCTTTAAAGTACACAGGGCAATCTGTGCTGGATTCCACCCGAAAATGTCATTATACATTCCTGCTACTCGAAAGCGATGCTCGACGAAATTCCACGGCATCCAAGAAGACGAGTTTTGGGAGAAACTGTTACAATTATGCAACGAAGCATGCATAATAATGGAATGTGGAGTCATACCTGTGATGGCTCCTTGATCCAGTTTGGAGATATTGTTTCCCAAGAGTGTTACCACTTTCAAGGCCTTGCTCCGGAATTCCAGGACACCTATTGAAAGGATTGGACCCAGATTGCACTCTGAAGAATAGAATTTCTCGAGATTCTTCAAGCTCTTGATTGTTGCAGAAGGGAGCCTCGACAGGGGATTTCTTGCTGTATGAAAGCAAAACGAAATCAGTGAGATGAGGGAAAGCTACTCAACCTGCGACACTTTTGCTTCAAAGAATTGAAATAAATATGCTCCTAGGGTGTCATTGAAGCATCGCATATCACACTTGAATTGATAGAGAATCTTTTCTTAAGACGCAATAGTCCGTCGAACGCCACACTCTTTATCTTATTGCGAAATAAACTGAGTATTTCAAGGCGGCCACTTTTGAAGGCCGGGACAGTAGTCAAGAAATTGTTGTAGAGCCAGAGTTCACGCAGATATGTGAATTCATGAAGAATATGAAAAGTGAAGTTCTCTAGACGACTGTCGATAATGGCGAGATACGTAAGGAACCGTTTCAAAGGGAGCATGGCTGTTGGATGGACCTTCTTCACTGCCATATTGCTGATAAATATCCGTTGGAAGGAAAGATCCCCGAATAATCTTTCGGGGAGTTCCGCTACTTCCAGATTGTCTTCAATTACGAAATTCCTGCATGGATAAATACCAACATGAGTACGTATGACATGCCACATGTAGATGAGGAAATAGTTATGAACTTATAAGGGACTCTACTCAAGTGATCATTTTCGATTTTGACCAAACTTTGGTCATTTTAAGTATTCAATACTTTCGAAACGAAGTAAAATGGCACCAAAGCATGCGGCAGAGAAACAGGTTGAAGCTCTTGACTGGCTCTCTCAATCTTCCGCGCGAACCCAAGTCCCAATGACATATCCTCTTATTCCCTTACTCTTATCGAGTTCCTTCCCCATCTCTAAAGGGATCCTTGTCCTTTAAGTCTGATCACGGGTGATCATCATAAACATGGAGCGAATTAACCCACAAAATGTTCTTCACATGCTCAATAAAGCTTACAGAGCAAGCAGATATCTCGGGGCGCTGCAGTTGACTGCAGCGCTCTCAAGGTATGTGTATCTTTCTGCATGTAAAAAAATATTAAACTCATAAACCTCTCTGTCAAATATCACCTGCATCGGACTGTCCCTTGAATAGCTATGGGAAAAAAAGAGGGAGTAAATTCATAGCAACCCTGTATGTACAATATTGGAGCAGAGAGAAACTACGCAAGATAGTTATGACGATATATGATAGAGGAGGTGGAAGTGATTAGAAAAAGGCTCATCTTAATGTTGATCATTCGGCTCGATCGCATGCGATATGAATCGTGTCCTGAGATTTTTGTTTGCTCCGTAAGTTTTACTGAGCATCTTCAGCACATATTGTGGGTTTTATCGCACCATGTTTACGATAATCACCCGTGATTAGATGTAAACAACAAGGATCACTATAGAGATGGGGAATGAACTTGATGACAATAAGGGAATAAGAGGACATGTTATCGGGACTTGAGTCCGCATAAAAAATTAAAAGAGCCAGTTTATAGCTTAAACCAGTTTCTTTGCCACATGTTTTGCTACCATTTTCCTTTGTTGTAAAGGCCAAAATTGTTAGTCAAAATCGAAATCATCACTTGGGTAATGGTCCTTGCTAGTAATTGCTTTTAAATGTTTTTTTATGTTTGATTCTTGTTTGTAAAAGTTCACGACCATGTGTACAGTGATCAACAAAATTCGTCAAATGTTTTTCGTTTTGGTGATGGCTTGCTAATAATTTCATGAATATCCAATCAATTCAAACCATGTTTGTAGGACAGATAGCTCTATGTAATATCCGTTGACTTTGTTTCGAACGAGTGTGTATTCGTCGAATAATGGGCTCTCAGATGTGCATGAGCCATTGGACCAATTTTGCGACTTGTGCTTAGTCCAACCAAACGGCATTTCTGCTCCATACATGACGGTTGACTTCGCACAAGTATAAAATATTTGAAGTGCATTCATTGGGCTTATACCAGGAAGTCTGCCTAGAATTTTCTGAGTTTTGAGTGTTGCTGTCCGCAACACTTTCGGTAAAGCTTCCCTTTCATAAAGGAACCATTCCGCGAGAATATCACTCCTAGGTAACTAAAATGTGGGACAATTTCAATATTCTCCCCGTTGAAGAGCCAATTCTCCTTATTAGCATTTTCTTGTCACCCACGAAAACACCTTTTTTTTTTCTTCTGTACATTCACCTCCATTTTCCTATGTAAGGAATGTTGTTGCAGTGTCTAGTGCTTTCTGGAGGCCGATTGGTGATTGCGACAGATTTACTAGATCGTCTGCATACATTATGCACTATGTTTCCTGATCCCCAAGTGCTGGTGCCATAGTTTTTGCCACTGTAAGGGCATCCGGGAGATCATTCAGGTACGGCGAGAAGAGGAGCGGTGATAGCTGGCATCCTTGCTTCACACCTATATTGATTTATTAAAATCGTCCGTCCTCCTCCAGGGTGTTGTTCTTATGCAAGCTACATTTCCGTCAAAAATGTCTTCCAAGATTCTGATGATCTTGACGTAGTGCCAAAATTCCACTTCTTCCAACAGTTAGACCGACTTCAGTGACCGTCATCTGCGCTTGCCATTCCGCGAGCCCCAAGTTATAATACGTCGTTCAGAAGTTCATGCTATGCTCTTTCTATAGATACCAAATTCACGATTGGCACTCAATTGCTTCATCTATATAAAAATAGCCGAAGTACTCATGTCCGCCGGAGGCCTCCACGGGTCAACTTTCCCGAACCCGACTCGACCCGATAGGGCCGATTCGAATCCGGAGCTCAAACGCCGACCGAACTTTTTGAGTTCATCCGGCGGATCGTGCCGGACCGATCGGTCCGGACCGCAGCCCTTATTAGGCCTCTAAGCTTCGGAACACGGGGTCTCTGGGTTCGCCTTTTTTTCTGAGCGGCTCTACCGGCTCTGCTGAGGCTCTCACCTGACGTCCCATGACGTCACATTGGTGCTGGCTTGGCGTACTATCAAACGTGAGACTCGATTGCCAACCTATCCACCGGTCGGGTCTGCCTGATTGAGCTGATCATTGACCTGATTGACCCTGCGGAGCTCAAAATCATCCGGGCGAATGATTTTGACCTCTACAGGTTACCTTTTCCTGTATGTCAGCATGAGGCTTGCGATGCCACAGCCCACTTATGCCTCTGAGTTTAGAGCTCGGTGTCTGGCTTCGTCCTCTTTCTAAGCGGCGCTGTTGATCCATCCAGTTTTCCCATGACAAGTTCGTGTGGGCCTGTCGTGTTTTCATAGTTCACTGCGTTTAGCTGCCTGCTGCTTGCCCGCGGGTGACGTCATTTAATGACGTGATCGCGTCAAGCGCTGATGGAACAATGTGCCCTTTTTTTGCAAATAATTATTATGATAGCAGATTCTCCTGCACCTAGCAGGAAACCTGATTCCAGTCTGAGCTGCCGGCCCGATCCGTCAGTCCAATAGAGTTAAAACTCGGGTATTAAAAAGGGAAATTTGAGATCTATGGGGATGGAAAGCATCTTCCCTCCTTCATTTGATACACGAAAGCTTTGAATTCGTACAAATTGTCCCATTTCAACGTTATTTACTATTTCAACGTTAGAACCAAACCTGTATTTTGGTATTGAGGGTAATTCTAGGATTGGTTTAAGGGAGGGAGGGATGGTGGGGCGCACGCAATATGATTCATTCGAAATATGGCAGTTGAAAATTCCCGCTGTGTGTTTTATTTAGGTTTTTTTGAAAGAGAAATCCATTACCTCCAACTCGAAGACGAATGCTTCACGGGTACCTGCTAGTCAGAATTTAATAATCCGCCAAACGACTGCAAGAATACGAGAAGGTTCTGGCCGACGAACTCCTCCAGGTCCTTAGAAAATCCGATTTTTCCTTAAGGAACGGACTCAAGCCCAGCATCGTAGAACGGGCTACGCACGTGAATAGAAAGCTAACTTCGTGGATACATCCGACCGATCCCAGAGCCCGCAGGGCTTTTAGCAAACTTGATGGCATCCCTGTTTCGCTCACTCCGCGACCCTGACAGACAACCTCCAGACAATAAATCTTACTCCTTGTCCCATCATACCTCCTCTCTCAAGGCCGTTCCTCACACGATACACTATAGTGAGCGTTAAGCACCACCGCTCTCGACGAACACACGCTTACATGAAGGCAAATGGAAAGAGTCCAATACACGAATGGAGGATTCAGATTCTTGTTTAAAAAAGGAGATTACAATGTTTTCTGAAATATTTTAATATCCGCGGTCTCCCCAATACCGTAAAAAAATTTTAATCCGACTGTAGCATAAGAAACTGTTTCCCTATAATGCGCGAAAAAATGTACAGATTCATTGCCGAAACCAAGACTCCTAGTCTCTCAAGACGGCGCAATACCTACCCTGAAAAAAAGCTATGGAGGAAGTGTCTCCCAACCCCTCAAACTCGCCGGCTTTGGGGTCTTGGGTGAGTGCGAGGAGGTGGTGCGTGAGGTCAAGGAAGCCCATCCCCTCCCTCCTTCCTCTACCAATCCATGTCCCCCTCGAAAAGGGTCGTACTCTCGTAGTTAGTTTGCCTGAACAGTGGCAGTGTTACAAATAAAATTGGAACTCAGGTTCAATATAGCTAAGTAAATAATCTCTTTCATTTATCACCTAAACCATTGTGATAAAGAGACCTTACAGCATATTTTCTCTCTCATACAAACCATTAATTCATTACGCAGGTACTTTTATTTTCTCTCCCATCAATTTTATTCATCCCTTGAGGGATAAACCTCGTAAATAAATTGACCAATTGAAAAATCGAAAGTCATCCATCCTGGTCACACGATACAGTATAATAAGGAAGGAAAAATGTGAAGAATTTCACACTGAGAGGGTAGAATGAGGGCAGGCGATGGTGATGGGTGACGAGGGCGATGGTGCAACCACTCTACTTGAAGCGTCATTTTCATCTCCCTTCTTGCCCAGGCCTCATCGTAGTCTGCGGCTCTGTCTCTTTCGCCCGTCATCCTCTTTTTCCTATTGCGGTAAATTGCAAGCTCCCAATGTAATATCTCGTACAGGGTGTCCATAAAGTAACTTGACATGATGCTTTTTTTTTCTCTCGCCAAATGAAATTTTACGTTGCCATAGTCTTAAAGACGACTAAATTATTTATTTCGTAACGCTAATAATATCAATTTTTCTCCATTCCATGTACCTGGAAATTTAATTTTTTGATAGCTGCCGAAAATGATATTTCTCGCAAAGGATGAAGATCATCGAGTGGTATTTTGAGTGAAAATCTATGGCAGAAACATATGCAGCGATTAATTGGGGTTCAGGGGGCTCGAGCCCTCCCCCCCACCCCCCAAAAAAAAAGAAAATTGCCAGAACAGTAAGGAATACGAGGCTCGGTACAAAAATAAAGCCTCCTATTTTTTTTTTCTCAAGAAATATAATTATAGTTACAATTATTTTTACAGTGAAGATGCATCCATATGTGACAAACATGAGGCTATTTCTCCACAAAGTCCCTGTCAACTGCCATACACTTTTGCCCACGTTGAACCAGGCGCTGTATACTGGTGTTGTAAAACTCCTTCTTAAAACGTCGGAGCCAGTCAAGAACATTCTTCATCTCGTCATTGTCATTCTCAAAATTATGCCCACTTAATCTATTATTTAGCGGGCCAAAGAGATGGTAATATGAGGGTGCAAGATCCGGGTTATAAACAGGATGGGGGAGAATGGTCCATCCCATGGCTGCGATTGCCTCAAGTGTGCGCAGTCTGATATGAGGCCGGGCGTTGTCATGAAGAAGAAGCACCTTACTCATTTTCCGGTTAGGCTTTTGGCTAAAACCTGCTTATAGCCCGGATCTTGCACCCTCAGATTACCATCTCTTTGGCCCGCTAAATGATGGATTACGTGGACAACATTTTGAGAATGACATTGACGAGATGAAGAATGTTCTTGACTGGCTCCGACGTTTTAACAAGGAGTTTTACAACACCAGTATACAGCGCCTGGTTCAACGTTGGCAAAAGTGTATTGTACTTGACAGGAACTTTGTGGAAAAATAACCTCATGTTTGTCACATATGTATGCATCTTCACTGTAAAAATGATTGTAATTGGAATTATATTTCTAGAGAAAAAAATAGAATTCATTACTTTCGTACCGACCCTCCTACTTTAAGTACTGTCTCTGAGGCCCCTCCCCCCAATTTTTTCTCTGACCCTTTCAAATTTCTCAACAAATCGCCCACTATGGACAGAAACACAAGAAGTTCAAACGCCATTACAAGCCGTCCCAAGGGCCTTCTCATGCAGCCATTCATGATCTTGTTTAGAAGTTTCAGGAGACTGGGTCACTTCAAGACTGATCGAATCAAGGTCATCTTTCAGGAGAATGAGGAAATGCTCTTTGCGGAAAACTGAGCATTTTCATCAGTTGCCCAATAATTAGGTTTTCAGGAACCTGGGATGGATGAAAAATGAATATTATTAGTGTTCCAGAATAAAGAATGTCGTCCTCTTTAAGACTATGGCAACGTAAAATTTCAATTTGCGACAAGATAAAAAAATCGTTGTCAAGTCACTTCATGGACACCCTGATTTTTTTCGGTATTGGCATTCTGGGATTCAGTGAGATTCAGTGACTATTTTTAGATTTTTATTTTACCAGACTATTGCAACCAAAACAAAATGTTCGTAGCATGTCAAAAGAGGTCAATCTCCAGATTCCTGCCATGGTCAAGGGAATTCAGCAAGTGCTTATTTGGTATGGTTTATAAATCTGAAATTTGGTACAATTAGCTGATGGGATGTAGAGTTCAGGAAAAATTCGACTTTTTGGGGGGAAATGTTTTTAAATATGTTATTTTCCTCCAGTCAAACGGATGAACACGGAAAGCTGAAACGTGACATGGACGTGTCTACTGTAACTGCGTTCAGGAAATGTTAAGTTTCAGATGCATGCCGTGGAGAATATTTTTGTTTGGTGACGTTTTTTGTCCTACCAAATTGGGCAGTAATAGTATGGTGACACTTGACAAACCAATACATGTAGTGATGGTGTGATTAGAAAATGTCATGTTTTGTCGTGCATACCCTCAGGGCACAGTTTTTGGCTGCATTGGCTTTTCCAAAGATTTTTTGCACCAGTTAAAAGAGCTAAAGGATAAGAATGAAACTTGGTAGATACGTAGTTCTCCCAGTAGGAATTTTCAGGAAAAATGTTACTTTTTTGGTAAAATCCCCTAGGGCGCATTTTTTGCAAAAATTTCCCGAACCCTTTCTGATCTAACGAGAGTTCTAGAGAAAGTTGAAACTTGGGCGAATCGGAGTCACTATTTCGATGAAAATATTGGTTCCTTCTTTCTCGGCACACATTTTGGCAGGCACAAACTTATAATAATAAAAGTAAGTTTGAAAGTAAGTTAAGGAATGAATGACTAATCTGTACAATGGAGCGCCGGTATATGCAGGTTTATGCCCTTAGGGGGTATTTATGCAGGGGTATGTTTTAAAATAAGTTATTTTACAGCAAGCAAAGCAAAAACGTAGAAAGCTGCAAATTGACGTGAAGGTGCTGATTGCCGCGTTGATTGCCAAGAACACTTAAATTTGCATATGTATGCCTTGGGGGCACTATTTTTGTGGGGGAAGTGTTCAAATAATTCCTGCTTCGGCAAAACGATTTTTAAATATTCCTGGAATGAACGAATTCAAGAAATTCTTCATTTTGTCGTTCTCGCCCTCAGGGCATATATTTTGCTTGATAAATGTTATCGGATTTCTTGACCGCTATATTGAATGTTATTAGTTTAGGGGGAAAAATGAGTAAACTCGCACACTTTCGTTCAGAGAAAAGTGGTTCTTTAAGTCTTGCTATAGAAGACGCTGTATTGTTTATAAACTCTTAGGTTGCAATTCTGGTGCTATAAATAATCTCTGCTTGATTCAAATTCCTAACATCAGATTGAAAATCAATTCATATGAGCAGGAGTAGCTTAAACTCACAATAAATAAACCTAATGAAACAAGGAGTTTTACTCAATTTGTAGTCATGAGAATCGAAAAGGAATGCTTTGGTGCATTATTAATATTTTATGAAGCCAACCGCGCCGAAGGCGCGTTCATTGTTCTGGATAAGAATGCAAAAACCGGTCATGAACTCCCTTTGACCAACCCTTCCCTCCCGTTTTCTTTTTGGACTCATATTCCTTTCATCAATACTTCGGTCGTGATGCGACTTCAGTTTGTGTTTCATTTTTTCACCCCTTTCTTGAAACCCTTTACAGTTTCCAATGTTATTCTATTTTAATTAACCATTCTTTTAATTTTTATTTCACGCGCCTTCCCTTTAGTTGATATTTATTCTCCTCCCCTTTTCCTAGTAACCAGCCATCTTTATTTCCCCTTTCTTTTGAGCACTTTTTTCTTTTACTTTTTCGACCAGATTATTCACTCCCAGAAGGAATCATTTACGTGGCCTTCCCTTTTACCTTGACTATGCACCTCACGAAGACAAGAGAATGCGGAGAGGAGGGAACGGACGAACATAGCCCGCAGCGAGACAGCCGAGTCCAATAGGGTATGCACTCTCCTCAGGTTCTCAGTGCGTAGTGCCACAGTGTCACTTGCAAGATGCAAGCTTCTCCCGCGCGTATTTCCTTAATCTCCAATAGTAGCCGCCTGACCTTCATCAATCTCCGGGAAGACTTCACCCTCTTCATGAAAGGTACCTTCATATAAATAATATATTGACTAGTTTACCCCCAAAGGACAAGCAAACTCGTGATGCTCACGCCTTCGGGGCTCCAAAATGCAAGTAAATTTGATGAATGCTCGTGTGTCATACATCTGTCTGCAGTCTTCCCTACATTGAAATGGGGTGTTAAAACTTCAGAAATGTTATGAATTCTTCAGAGTGGCGTCACTTTATCTTCGTTTGGATGATGTCAAAGGAAAATAATGAAAATTTTTCCTATATCCTCTGAAAGCTTCTGAATTTATTTCCAGATTTTTCTGGTCAAACTCAATAGATCAAAGAATGATTATATCGGGCTGCTGCATGACCCCTAGAGTGTGGTGCACTCGCGGATTTATTCCCATCCGGTCGTCTAATGTACGAAAACCTCATTCCATGCATTCCACGTCAAAACAAAAGCGTGAGAGTTCGCATCTTGGGCTACCAAAATGTTATTCTTTTAAACCATACTATGACCCAAACGCGTGAGGGCATGCTATGTACACGTGTTATTCTCTTTCCTCCGGACGTTCCCCAGGAGTGACTGACTACCAATGGCGGGGGTGGGGGGGGAGGGGAAGAAAAATAAAAACAAATAAAAGAACATAATTAAAAATTACCATATTCCAAAGCCGAGATTTAGTGTTCCCCACAACCTTGGGAAGATGGAGCTTCAAATTTGCAGGAGCTATTTTGTGTTGGGAGAGAAAGAAACGTGACAAAATTCGTTGCTGTTGATGTTCTTAGAGAATAAAAAAAAATGTTGAAATTTGCTATGGGAGGGGGTTTAAGAAAGTTAATAGTCGCTAACGCGCCTACTGATGTGCAAAGCAGATTGAACTGTTCATTGTTCTATGACAACGTGGATGTGACACAATTTCGAATAATCAGGTAATAGTGATATGTGAGAGATGGAATTTGAAAATGAGGTAGCAAGAGTTCGCATATATTTCGCATTCGCAATACATGTTATAAAATTAATGCGTGGACATTTCCATTCTCATTTATTGCTGCATGTACAGAAGTATCCTTCCATTCCAACAGGAATACTTTTCGCACATGCGTGAATCAAATTACATCACCTAAGAAGACAGACTTCAGAGGATACGCAACACCACGGGCCTCTTCCAGCCGTCCTCCGATGACCAATTGTATAATGAATCATTTATTGACCGTCCTATTCATTTCCTTTCCCTCATTTGTGTCTGCGAAAATGGAGCAGACATGCCCGAGCGAAGATATATCACCCTGCATCTGCACCAAAAATTCGAATGGCGATGTGAGAGTGGACTGTTCTAGTGCCAGCTCTGGTGCTCAGATTTCCTCAGCCCTGACAAAGACCTCGTGGCGTTCCACTCAACTCTGGTGAGCATGAATTATCTTGTCTTTTATTTTCTTAACTCCCTCTCCACCAATCGCTGGGTCACAGAGACAGACCAGCACTGAGGCTGTCGCCTCAGTGCAAGGCAAGAATCATGTCACCCTAGGTAGCACACTCACGGTGAATCAACTTTGATTCACCGTTATTGCCTCTTTCAGCTCTTACGCTATCTGGATGGCAGATTCGTCCATTCCCGAGTTGAACATGCAGTCCAACTTAATGCTAGTTCTCCGTCGTAAGCTTCACTGTTGTTCCACTCTAGGTCTTCGGTCTAGGCTTGGTCTTACGACGCATTCTTGCTACTGCAGTATGACCTACACCCACTTGTGCTGCAGTTTTCTGCGACGAGAGGCCGTTGTCGAGAAAAGAAACTATATTGTTGTGGATTTCTCCGGAAATGCGTTTCATGGCGAAGGGAGTAGTGAAGAAAAAGAATCGGTAGTAAGCGTAGAAGGTGCAAATGCATCTTTTTTTAATTTTGTGGAGGTGGAATGGCTGCGCCGCGATCAACAAATGCCGATTGGTTGGACCAAACAAAAATCGCAAAAACTGGTCCAATGGAACATGCTACTTTGAGAGCCCCTTATTCCATGAATACACATCGTTCAAAACAAAGTCAATGGATATTGGCAGCCAAGAATCAAGGCCAACCTATCTTTAAACATGATTTGAATTGATTGGATATTCATGAAATTATTAGAATGCAAACACCAACACCAAAAACATCGAACCAATTTTGTTGGTCGTTGAACATATGATCAAAAACTTTTACAACGAAGAAATGAACATTTTAAAAACATTTTCAAACAAGTACTAAGTTAAGACCTATTTACTTATCCACATGTGGCATGTCAAACTAACTGATTTCGATCTTTCTCCATGCAGGGAATTCGTCATTGAAGACAATATGGAAGTTGCGGAGCTCCCTGAAGGATTATTCGGAGCTCTTTCCTTCCAGGGGATACATATATGGAATACTGCAGTGAAGAAGGTTCATCCAACAGCTATGCTCCCTTTGAAACAGTTCCTTACGTATCTCGCTATTCTCGATAGTCGTCTGGAGAACTTTCCTTTCAATATGCTTCATCAATTCCAACATCTGAGAGAACTCTGGCTCTATAACAATTTGTTGACCTTTGTCCCAGCCTTCAAAAGCGACAGCCTAGAAATACTCAGTCTTAGAGCCAATAAGATCACGAGTGTGGAGTTCGACGGATGGGCGACTCCCAAGTTGAGGGAATTCGGCATTGGTGAGTAGTAGGTATATTATGCTAGTTCTAACTTTTTTTTTAAATCATGATTTCTATTTTAAAGAAAGGAAGCATCCTAGAAATGCAAGTTATGAAAGTGTGACGTAACAAGCGATCAATATTAATTGGTCACTCGTCCCGTTCCAGATTCGAGAGTTAAGGCAGGTTCGCCAGACAGAAATTCTGGAGAAATGGAAACCCTCGTGATCTTTCCAAGTAAATTACTTAACTTTATTAAAATAAAGACACTAATGAAATATCAAAATAAAAAAATAAAGGAAATAAGGAAAACACAGTTCTTCACAATACTTGTTAAAGAATTTAAGTTATTACTTAATATTGGATGGGAGAAGGATCCAACTGGGGCAAATTCTACTTGAATTTGCAGGTTAATTATATTACTGTTCTCTCTCTCTAAGTTACTCTAACTTTAACTTGGGCCACACACCTCACACAACCAAGGGACAGGGCTAACCTTTACGATGGTAGGTTGTCCTGGAGTCAGCTCCGGATATGGTAAGGTCACAATGGTGCCTTCCAAATAGCGACTGACTCCAGGATCCAAGTCTCCGGCTAATATCCTCGATACCTCTGGGAGGAGCCAGGGTACCTTCCTCCCAAAATCCGAGGTTCGGATTGGATATTCGACTTGGCCCCCTTTTGTCCCATTGGCTACCCTTTCGGTGTTGGCCTCGACTTAATTTATTTAAAGTCATCACGATGGTGTGACTTGCTCATTATCTTAATGGATTTGGTTTTATGTGTTTGCCCCAGTTGGTTACAGGGTTGTCCCATCCCTACACTGATAACATTTCATTATTCTTTACTTTATACTGAGTATTAAGCCAAATCAGGTATTTTTCCTTAATTCCTTATAATATCGTCAGTAATTAAGTTATCAAATCAGCTTGAAATAATCAAAACACTTTCCTTTAATATGCAATATTAGGATTAACAATATACCACCTGCAAGCCAATTTCTCAAAGGTTATTAAAAAAATTAACATTATTTCATTTCCTTTTGACAGACCGTTAGGAAGGGAAGAGAAAGGTGGGGAAAATATTAGAGTAGAAAAGGATGAGATTCCTGCAGCTCTCTTTTCAACACCTCAGGAGGAGTAAACAGTATATTTCCTCCTTCTCTTCTTTTGTAAAAGGGCGGAAGACCCCGTTCTTCACAAAAGTGATGTCTTATAAACGTTAGTTTCCGATTGCACTTTTTCGAAGAGAGCCCCCACAACTTCGCTTTTGGAAAATCTTGCAGCATTATGCCATAAGATAGAGAAAGCTATATTTATATTTTACTCTAGCCCTCATCCGGTTTGCTTCTTGCCTACGATTTCTCACTTGCGCGCCACTTCGAGAAAATATTATCTTTTGTTTTTTTTTTTGGATTTCCTCAAAATGCTTTTTTCCCCATTGACATGAAGTGCGAAAAACAAGAAAGGCTTTCATTTAATTTTCGGAAACATCAGTTAAAAAGCATTCGAGAAAAAAGGCGTTTTCACTTGGGGAAGTTTGACGGCAAAAACAGGAGTCGGCTTTCAACATTTACTGATAGACTATATGAGGAAAGGGACTGTTCTTTAGCACATTGAAACAGGAATTACCACTGCCCTCGAATATTGCATCGAAATCAATACGATAAAAAAATCAGGTTCGGTTAAATGAATGGGACATTTTAACATATCACCTGGAATACCGTCTATAGGGACGGTCTCGGGCCTCCAGCCAAATTTTCCGCCTTTGGAGCCATACGTTTCATGAGAAAAAGTATTCCGAAAAGGGAATCTTAGGTTGAAGCTTCCCTAGAAAGTAAACATTGGCTTCCGTTATTTCCATTAACCACTCCTAAAATTACAATTTTTCACCTCTTAAGCATATTTATGCATTTTCTCCGTCGTTCTTTTTCCCCCCACTTCCACCCCCCGTGAGCAGTCGGAACCAACTAGGATGGGTAGATTCCAACCTCCTCCATGTTATATTAATGCTTTGAGAAGTAATGTTTTGATATGAAAAAAGGGAAGCAGCGCAGAACCTCAATATTGGAAAAACCTAAGAGTGATATTTTTTGTGAGCAGCAGAATGTCTATGCGCCAGGATGCCACCAATTCTACGAATATCCTGGAGAATAATTATCGAAAGTCATGAAAAAGTCATTTTTCAATTTTAGTGTGATATGCAATGCTTCAATGACACCCTTTCAGCATTTTCATTTAAATTCCATAAAGCAAAAGTGTAGCCTGTTGTGTAGCTTTTCCTCATCTCATTGTTTTCGCTTTGCTTTCATACAGCAAGAAATCCCTTGTCGAGGCTACCTTCTGCAGCAATCAAGAGCATGAAGAATCTCGAGAAATTCTATTCTTCGGAGTGCAATCTAGGTCCAACCCTTTCAAGAGGTGTCCTGGAATTCCAGAGCAAGGCCTTGCAATTGATAACACTCTGGAAAAATGATATCTCCGAACTGGATCAAGGAGCCATCACAGGTATGACTCCACGTCCTCATGTTATGCGTGTTTCGTTGCATAATTACAACAGAGTTTCTCCCACAACTCGTCTTCGTGGATATCGTGGAATTTCGTCGAGCATCGTTTTCGAGTAGCTGCAATGTAGATTCACTGTTTTTGTACGGAATCCAGCACAGATCACACGAAGATTCCGTTCTATCGCATTCCCCCTTGGCAGCATGGAATAATGAAGTACAGAAAATGTAATTCAGAAAAACAAAGCATGCAAGGTTACTCAACGCATCCGTTGTGGTGCCGAAATGTGCAATTCCCCGTTCAACGAAGGCGAGAGGGGAAGAATAGGAGGGGGCAGGAACATCATTTGGTAAAACTGCCAGGGGGGGGAGCAAAGAAACTATCCCACCTGAAAAAGACACAGTTCCGTGAGAAACGTCATCGTCTGCTTCAATTTCGCGAAATTAACGAGGAAATTAACAAATTCACGAAATGGAATCGATCGTGAATTTTTCCCCATACATAATATTTAGGAGGCGGTTGATTTAATGAAATTCGAAATTCGGGAAATAATAATGCAAAATAATGTATTAGGATTTCGTGAAATTAAATCGGCGCCAGAAATCCTCCCAGCGTTCTCGTATGAATTTGGCTTCAAGTAGAATGGTATTTAATTAGATGAGACAACATTCATGGTTTCATTCAGCAGTAGAGAATCTCTCAAAAGAAAATTGAAGAAGCGTAAAGCGGATTTGTAGAAGTTCTCTTGTTCAGCAAGCTGTTTCAACGCCAACGAAATCGTTTAGATTTACCGCAACCGCGGATGGCGACGAACTTTCAATCTTTACGAATTCGTCAATCAATTAACTCTGTGTTTGCTTTCGGTGCTGCCAATGGTTGACGACTCCACTTTTTTAGTACTTTTTATTGACTCATTATTTTTTAACGGGAGCATGAAAATTATGCCTCATGAAAGCTCTAAATGCAGACTTTCAGGCTATAGCAGGGAATGAATGAAAAATCACCCCAAGACGGAAGGGGAGGAGTAGTTGCCCCCCTTTACCCCCAAAATGACGTATTTGGGTCATTCCATGTCAAGTGGTCCAATGGTGGTTACTGCAACGACTGTGATTTCGCAGTTAAAAGTCATGCGTACTGGGATGTGAGTTTTGAGAAACGGATTAATCCAAAATGTCAGCTGTCTAGCTCTAACGATCTTTGAGATATGCCCTTTGTAAGTTTGAAAGCCAAATATAAAATGACCCCTCAAGCAAATGCATTATCTCCCGAACGCAATTTCAGCTAGAAATATGAATCATAGCTCATTTCAAAGCGAGTAGCCAGGCGCTTTTAACTTCTATTTAGGCTTTCTATTTAGGCTCTTCCGTTCCTTAACTGGAAAAAAGTTTCATGAAATGATCAAATTTTCAACTCAAAAAATATCATGGTAAAAATACGCATAACTCCATTACCTTTGGGATGTCTTTCATTCTCTATGAGATTGATCCAAAGATACATGTATTTGGTTTTTAAGTCGCTTGAAAATACAGCTAGGTGTACGTAAAGTTCCACATTTTGCCATATTTGTTCAAATTTGACCTGTAATTACTTTCTTTGATTCCAAGTACAGTTTCGCTCATGGCATAGAATCATTCAAAACTCTCTCGAGACATGTAACTTTGACTTCTTTCCATCTGCTACCAAAGGGTCTGCTGAAAGGGTATTAAAATTTAGAAGAATGCCTCAATGAATTTTCTCATCTTGAATGAGTCTTTTTTTCTAGCTGAACTGTCAGAGAAGGGTAACTCGGACTTTATCCTCTGCTACTGAGGGATCTGCTGAAAGATTGACTCCTTGGAGGCTAGAAAATCCGTCACAGCATTCACAGAAAATTAATTACAGCAAAAATTGCCATAACTTCGTTAGTCATGAAGGTAAAGATGCCCCAACATGCACAGTAATGACTTTGAAATTTGACCTGACCTTAACCTTAATTCCCACACTCGATTTCGCTAAAATTCTAGAACATCATCAGTCATGACCTCAGTAATATACACTCACAATTTAATTTTGGGTTTTTGATTATCATTAGAGGTATGATCATTTTGGTGTGTGACCCTCATAACATGTGCGGGTATCGCACAGGATCGGGCTCGTACTTGCGCTTCACTTTTCACCAGTAATCTGTTCTAATCGTTTCTAATTAGCGGTATATCAGTTCTCAGAACATATACCATGACTTATGCCTGCGGAACTTTAGCTTCCTTCCCATTTTTTACCAATCAATGTACTTTCACGAGCATTTGCTTGGTGGGTCGGACGCTAGAAAATCATTTAATGTTTCAGTACCTGCTACTGGTACTGGTTATAACGCTCTCAAAGCCACTTTGCGTGTGCGTCTAATTCTTCCCTCAGGCAGTAGACGAAGTTAATAGCGGCAATATTGTCCGTTGCCCTAGTCCACAGCTGAAGGGAGGTTGTTATCTGATCACTTGTCGTTCTCTGCAGCATGCCTGTAGACATGACTTCGTTGTAGAGTACGAAGTCATCTCTAGAGAGATGATTTCTTTGCGCAGGAGCAATCAACATTTATCAATAACTTGAATGGAAGATGGAAGGAAAAAGGAGTGCAAGTATTAAGTGACTTTAGTGAGAATATTGTTTTCTTGATTCAGGACGCCATTCAGACCTTACACTAGACCAGGCCGCAATCCATCCGTCGACACCATACTCCATCGGCGATGGGGCTTCGGAACATCTAAGCTTTGTAGTCATTTCAGATTCACTGAACCACGACGGAGGGGCAGTTTATTTATTCATGAAATTGCATAAGGATAACATGAAATTAATTTCATTCCACGAAAATTGCATTTTTTCTGACTGCTCCACTGCGAAGTATGAAACCTGAAGTACTTGCCTCAGAGGTTAGCCTGCCCAGATCAACAAGTGATGGAATAACGTCCCCTCTTCAGCTGTAATCTTGGGCAGCGGACAATATTGCCGCTATTAACTTCGTCTTCTGCTTAAGGGAAGAATTAGACGCACACGCAGATATGCTTTGAGAGCGTTATAACGCGGCAGTACCAGTAGCAGGTACTGAAACATTAAATGTTTTTCTACTGTCCGACCGACCAAGCAAATACCCGTGAAAGTACATTGGCAGAATATGGGAAGGAAGATAAAGTTCCTCAGGCATCCGAAGACAGCAGCCTTCTCATAAGGAAGGTAAGAATGGTGTACTCTAACTGGAAGTGCCTTAGGCCGAGAACTTTTCAATTACTATAGCTCGTATATTTCAGGTTTGGCCCAGCTCAAATATAAAATAAACATATTTCCAGATTTGGAGATAGTGGCAGTTTTGGAAAATATTACATGGCAGTATTTCAATTCCCAGCATTTCTGAAGCTCCTCACAAGTCACTTACAAATCGGTCAGAATTTTGACATTACTCTTGAAGAAATTTTCAATGTAGTCAATTTGACAATATCAAAATAATATTTTTGTTCGCCCCATTTGCAAAATATGATGAAATATCCATGAGTCTGGGTTCTTATGTTTGTGGGAAAAAATAGAGACGACTCTGAGACACTTTATCTTTTCGCCTTTGATTGCCTGCTAACCGACTGTCCGCCGTATCCACATCCACTCAAGAACCAAGCCTAGATTGTGTAAGTTGTTAGAGTAGACATTGAGGACAAGAGGAGAAGCCCACATTGTATGTTCTGCAAAAGTGTAAAAATAGTTTGTGAACAAATTTCGCAGAGAAACGACGTCAGTATATTGCCACTAACACATCATCATCCAGATATAGCGGCATCTCTTATATTATGTTTAATATTTCCCCATGGAATATGTGTCATATGTCCTTTCTCATTTGAGTTTCAAATCAGATCATCGCATGGTGTTCTTTACTTGCATTCCAGGTCTGGGACCTAATACTACGGTTCGGCTGACTAACAACAAAATTGCTGTTTTGTCTGAGGAGAGCTTCCGCCCAATGTTGGACATCCTCTCGAAGGGGGATGGAGTCCTCCATCTGGACGGTGAGTTTTACGGTTTCTCACCACTGAATCATATGTTGAGCTTCTTCGTCAATTCGTTCATCTGCTTCATTGCTATTTCTTTCGTGTCCCTATTCCAGACAATCCAATCCAATGCGATTGTGACATGTCATGGCTGTTTCTCAATAGGAAATTTCTTACGAGCATTTCTGGGAAGTGCCACAATGGAACCGAATTCACGGATTTGGATGTAGTTGTTATGAAAGACTGTGATCGTCATACGAACTTTCCAAGACCCACAATTCAAGGTGATGTCTCCAGGTGCTTTTTTCCATGCGGTCGTTATATGGTTTCCCAACTATTAGTTCCATGCTTGGCTAGGGGTTAAATGGAATGTTTGGGCTTTTGGGGCATATTTTTGGTCTTCGAGGCATGACAACTTCGTTGCCTCGAATACAAAATCAAAATTCAAATTCATTCAAGAAACGCACGCTCATTCGTCACTTTTCAAAATATACTAAAGGTATTGTTGGTATTTCTAGATTGCAGCAGGAATCATTAAAAAAATCATGTTATATTTTATTTCAATTAAATTTTATAGCATGCAATGTAAAGTCTTCTAGAAAATTTAGATCTAGAGCTTGCTGGCCCGGATGGTCATCATAAAGGCTAGGATATTGCATATTCTATATAGACATCAGTCCATTCTTTTAATTTATTCCCTTTTTTCGTTGATCTCCTGAATTCCTTAATAACATGTCAGTTAATAACGTTGCTCGTTAAATGCCTATGCTAATGGAAGTACTTTTTAAAAAATCACTCCATAACCAATGTGAGTGAGAGGCAGGTCCCTAGTTCAATAATTATTGTTGTTCATGAGCTAAGGTAGAAAGTATTTGAATAACTATGAGAGTGGGGGCAAGAGCAATGATGAAGGTTTGTAATAATGTGAATACCTATTTACAATGGTCTTACCTTTTTTCAACCACAACCCCAACCTCAACTTTACCTCACCTTCTTCTTCACCCCACCTTCCCTCTTCTCTAAGGAACTCACTAACGTTAGGCCTACAATTTTTCGAACAATAGAAACTCAATCTTCGACCTTCGGACCAATTAGGCCTACGAGGGTTAATCCCTGGTCTTCCAGACACCTCGTGGAGAACATATAACGTTAGGCCAATCGCAGGCCTATTAATTTCTCATGGAACATTTAACAGAGAATGTGACCGATTGTAGATCTTCGAGTTTCATGAATAATTTCAGTGCGGACAGGGAACATTAGGGTTATCCAGAGTTCCTCGAACCGTCTGGACTCGTCCCGAGAAAAAAAGGCATTTAAAAATGAAAACATACAAGCGGCAGCTATCATGTTAATTTAGGGGTGTCCGGATTAGATTTCACCGTATTCCACCAAACCGATCGGTCACTGGAAATCACCGTTTTATTCTCAACTCCCCTCAAGACTTCAGCACAATAATTTCTTCAAGATAAAAAAGAGAAGGTCCAGACAATGATACAAGGTCGAATAAGTCATGCATCTGAGACAACTCCGAAAATAATATACCGGAAACACTGCGGGACCGGACAAGCGTAATACATTTTGGGATTGTGTCTTTCGAGTCATTAAAATTGGTATGTTACCTTTAATTTCCGTTAACTTGTCCATTTTCCTCCAAGCTACCGAATAGCAATGTGCCAACCATGCTCTTTATGACATAAAAGTCAGACATTTGGCCCTGAAACTTTCTAAATTATACAGAAATCCAATACATTTCATGCATGATAGCGCCGCATATTGAAGTTTATTCACTTATTTTGCCAAGAAGAGGGAAAATCCAAGATATATACTCATGATTTCAAGAGACGTTCATGATACCGTAGTGTCTTCATCTGTTTCATTTTTTCCACCGGTGTCGTGACTCACAGTAAACACGCTGTGTTTTTTGCGGGGAAAGGAGAATGATCCTATGTAGGACTTCGCATTTCCCCACTTAAGTTTCGCATTCCCCACGTAATGTTTTGTGGGCTGATGAACTGACAAGGTGAAAAAGTGGGAAAGGGCCCCTCTGGATCCCATCGCGAATGAGGAAGTGACTAGGTTTTGCTATTTATTTTGCATTTCGGCTGACGTATCTGCCATCTTTATCGCGCGACATGTACTCTACCCTATAAATATCATGCCTTCCGACATAGGCGTTCACAGTCGCCGTGGGGAACTGCGCTTGCCTCTGGTCAGGTGGCAAAATGATAATGCAGCAGAAAGGATGTACCGAAAATCCTTTAGGGGGAATCCTCACTTTCTGATCATCACATCCATGAGGAAATTTGTTTCCTCCTGGCCGATGGAGTCAAAGTCAAGCTGGTTTGGAATATTTTGTAGGAAAATGATATGGAAATCGGATTGACAATGACATCGTTTTATTGAAACGTCACTAGAAAGCGAGATAGATAACGCGGACCCGTGCTTACCGAATCCTTGCGGGGCGCACGCGAACTGTCAGGCCAGCGGTGGCCATCCCATGTGCTCGTGCATCTACTACGGGGATCCCGAGACGGGCTGCATCGAGGGTGAATGCGTTGGTGTGTCTTCCATTATCTCGAGCATTGCCGTAGGTGCGAGAGCGGTAGGTCATCCGTTGTTTCTCGCTTTCGCAGAGACTCACGACTGCAGCGACGATCGAGTGTGCAATGATTTCTACTGCACGGATCCGTGTCCTGGGACGTGCGGGACGGGTGCCCAGTGCATCGTCCGGAGACACGTCCCCTCCTGCACCTGCCCCGCCGGCCACACCGGTGATCCCTTCGAGCGGTGTCGACGACTCGACCCTGGTAACGTTTCCCCGCATGCGTCCGTTTCTTCCGTCCGTCCGTTTGCGAGACCGGTTTCGTTCATGAATCTTCAGAGGACCCGTGCGATCCGTCGCCCTGCGGAAAAAATTCCAAGTGCGAGGTTGCATCCCATCTGGCTGTCTGCTCCTGCCTTCCCAATTTCTTCGGCAACCCCTACCAAGGGTGCAGGTGAGCCCTTTTGCCGTCTTCGGAAGGGGAATCGAAGACCGTCGGCGACGCTCGATCCGGTGAGACCCGCAACCCGCGTCATCAGTTCCCGTCGCAACGGGAAGATCCACCCCTTTTATTTCTTCCGACGCTTCCGAAAGTGAGCTTTCCGAATGAGGTCGCCGTCACGGCAGGTCGTACCCGACGGCGGACTCTCTAAGACCCGGAAATCCACCCGAGATTCTTTGGTCAATAGAGTCCGCGCCGAGGATTCCTAACAGGCGTTCATGAAGGGAAAAGGAAGAGGAAAGCCCACCACGCAGTGTACACTGATGCACATTTTTATGGGGAGAACGCGATTAATTTAATATGTGAAATGCTTTGGTTTCCAGAGCGGAGTGCGAAACGGATTCCGCCTGTGCACAGACACAAGAGTGTCGGCAGTACAAGTGCATGAACCCTTGCACGGATGCGTGCGGGGAGAACGCGGAGTGCCGTGTGGAACATCACCGGGCCATCTGCTCCTGCCCCAAAGGTACGTTGCAGACTTCACGTTCCGTAGTAATACGCAGAGGATGTCGCCGATTATACGAGATCTTTTTCCCACGAAAATCGCATGGATTTCGACGAGGATTTTCGTATCCCATAATATCGGTTTCGAGTTATTGTTTCCATCTTTAAAAACAAAATGATAAAAACTTCTGAAAGGTGATGTCGGCCGCGACATCGACGGAACTCATTTTCGTCTCCGTTCAGATTTCCTGGGAGACCCTCGAACCCACTGCTACGCGGAATGTACGGTACACGAGGATTGCGCCTACCACAAGGCGTGCGTCCACTTTAGATGCAAGGACCCGTGCGTGGGGGCGTGCGGGATGAACGCAGAATGCCGCGTGGAGAACCACAAGGCCATCTGTTCCTGCCCGGAAGGTTCCACGGGACATCCCTCCCATCACTGCAAGCCCTTAAATCCAGGTCTCTTCCTATATTTTTCCTTCTTCCCTCCCCTCCTGTTGAGTATGATCGGCGGTCGGAAAGTCACACGCAAGAGTGAGGAAAGGCGTTTCTGCGGTTCTCGGTTCAAGACCGTCACGGGGCATCCGGGACGGGGATAATCTGTTCCGAGCCGTGCCGCTTCCAGATCGTCGCGAAAGACACGGGCTCGATCGAATCGAATGCCTCGTAAGCGGATTTCCATACTTCCCCGTGAAAAATCCGGTACAATCTGCCTACGGGGAAAATGCAGAGGCAAGAAATGTTTTTTCTCGCAGAAAATATGATTTTCTTCTTTTCCCTTTCGCCCGCAAGGGTTTACATTAACATCGGGGACTTGCACAATCGAAACCACGCGCGGAGGAAAAAAAGGACTGCCTTTGCAATGAAGGGTTTCGTGGAAAGGTTCAAATGTTCGCTTGGAAATGAGACCCACATGGTAGGAACCACATTTTCCTCGCAGAGGTGGCTTAGCTGCCTCCGCTGGTTGCCTGCCTCCTTTGCTTGCATGCCTCATCATCGACTCCAGTCCATCAGAGTTCCTAGGGGGGGGGGGCGGCAGATGCGATGTGGAGCATCGAGTCCCTCCCGCCTCCCGTTCCTTCCATCTCCCCCTTCCTCGTCTTTTTTTTTATCACTGCTATACTGTATATTCTATATAAAAAATCTCATCCACTTTGGTCGGACTAGAAACTTATGATGCCGTGATCGACTATCACCGTTGCTCGTTCGGAGCAAGGACTGCTATATTCTCGACGCGAACCAGCATCGAACGGATCGTGCGGAGTGACTGAAGAGCAGGAAAGCCGACTCCCGTTTTCGACGTGCGAGAGGGAGAGGAAGACTTGGATAGGCTTTCGGCCGAAATATTCGCGCTGCTGCGCCTTTCGGCGAAGTCGGAACGATTCGGCAAGAAGAGAAACGGCAGGCACGAACCAGGTCATGGGGATGACTTCGTCTCCTTTTGCTCGGCGTTCTGATTTTCTTTCCTCATCTTTTCGCCGCGAAGAGTGTAATGGCTGCGGATGTAAGGGTTTCCTCATGGAAGACTTCCTCACAAGTCAGCCCATATATCTCCCCAATTTTTCTCAAGGGGGGAGGGGATGGAAGGGGGGGCCTCTGCACGAATCTCAAGAGGACGGCCCCATTAGGGCAAAGAAATTCCGGGATGCTGGACAATAAAGGTTGAAGAGGTTTGAGCGCTCTTCAAGCTGGCCCATTTTTCACTTGCTTGGGACAGGTCCGTCATCTGTTTTTTGGAGGCGCTAGCTTGCCATCATAATGAATCTCTATGGTGCAAAATTTTGACGCACCTGCTATGGAAAGGCGCCCAATTTAGGAACATTCGCTTCCTAATCCCTAACAGTAGTGACGAACTCCGTGGAATGCTCTTGGGGTTTTCCAATCGTGCAACCGAAGAACAGGCAAAATCACAGAGAGTTTATAAGTTGAACTCCGTGGATGCATTCGTTGTACAGGGTGAGTCAAGAGTCTGGACAAAAAGGACTAATATGTGTTTCTTTTTTTCTTTTGCAGAGTTTTGATAATTGAGCCATAGTATGTGGCAGATAGGATTGAACTCGTAAAGAATCCAGAAATGTCTGGAGAACGATGGAACACATATAAGGCACATATGGTAACATTTCGTGCAATAAACACATAGAGCTCAGTTTCCTATGTGTCCAGAATTTTTACTCACCCTGTAGTTTCGGTCATAACACCAATTCTCCCATGTTTTTTTCCGCTAACAGGCGGAGCGATCGGATGCGGACAACTCAACGCCATTCAACATGGATCCTTTACTATCGAGTCATGTGGCAGCCCATATGAAGTGATTGGTGAAAGAAGCAACGCAAGTTGTATTCAACATGAAACCTATGTATTGTCGAGCATTGTTAGATACGCATGCGAGAAATATTATGAACTGCATGGACCGGAATTCAGAAGATGTGAGGAGGATGGAGAATGGACAAGACCCACCCCGTTTTGCAATCCAGGTCTGTTTCTTTTACTCTATATTCCCTGTTCAATTAACACATCGCTGTTATATCCGAATGACAATATGAACTGTTCTATACACAGTATGCGGGACGAAGGAAAGTCAAATTCAGCTCTCAGCAGGAGGAAATCCATCTGAAATTGGAGAATGGCCATGGCAAGCGGCCATTTATGACATCAAGAAGGGAGATGTTGTTTGTGGAGGGGCTCTCATTAGGGAAGAATGGGTGCTAACAGCTGCCCATTGTGTCGTTGTAGAGGGTTCCCTCAGAACTCGGCACTCTGAAGAAATTTTTGTCTATCTTGGGAAGCATATTCGTTCTTATGTCAAGGAAGATGAACACGTGCAGATCAGACCAGTTCAGTGATCTTCCAACATTTTCGAACGTCCATCCATTCTTTCCCGATGATGTAAATTGTCACAATCTCCTTGCAGGTGTCTCGCATAATCTTGCACAGGGACTTCAACGTATATAATAACTACGACTCGGACATAGCTTTATTGAAACTAACAAGACCTGCCGTGTTAACGGCGCGAGTTCAGTTGGTATGTCTCCCGAACAGATTTGATTTATCTGAGGCAAACCTCGACAGTGGAGTGCCAGGATGGGTAAGACACCAAATATATTAATTTCTCTACCTAAAGGTTTACCTACAGCGTTCTTGATGCATGTTTTTTTCTACGATTGTGTAATGATGCAGGTGGCCGGTTGGGGTCATGACGGTTCGGATGAACTCGCAGCTGTCCTGACTGAGGTTCAACTCCCGGTCATATCCAATCGCAAATGTGTTCGGGACACCCTTAATTTCACAGGGGACCCCGGGGTCACTCGTACCCTCACCTCAAATATGTTTTGCGCTGGTTTTTCTGCGGATACTCCTCTTGAAGGTATGTCTCATAATCTGTGGTTGCTTAAAATTCTCATTAGTGAATTCTGATATTGTCAATTCAACTCTTCCGAATTCCACACGCAAGTCTCGTGCTTCCTGAAATATCTTTAATGTTAGTGGACTAGAGTGTGAACATTCCTTTGCACGAGTGCATTCGCCTACGAGTACCAGCATTGAAGCCATGTCGCCTGACATGCAAAGTGTGCATCGCCTTTAGAGTCATTTGAACCAATTCCGAGAGTGAAGCGGAAGATCTTTCACGTCGGTAATTGCTGTGTCGAATATTCACGGTCGCTTTAAATAAGGTAAGTGTAAGGATTGTAAATGGCACTTCCAAGGTTTCCATCGCAATGCAGGAATTGAAGGAATACATGGTTGCCTCATTCGCATTTATCCGACTGCAACTTTTTTCATATGCTTTGCTCGGAATTCTTCGGAAAACGATTTTATAGTGTAAGCGCATTACGGCCATCATGGATGGCCTGCAGGTGGTTGGAAAAGTCGGTGTTAGATGTGGGAGACAGCTGACAAATAGTATATTTCGGCAAGACTGGTGAAATGGGGGAAACCTCAGATGTCAAACTATTGACAACGCAACGAATATATTTCAATAAATAACTTGTGAGGAGCATTTACATTCATGAAGGAATAGAAGCGGTAGATTTGAATCGACCTTACACAAGGGAAGTATTATCTGACACATGAAGTTATCAGCAGAGCTTACCACTTGTCGGTAGTGGCATCGGAGATCAATGTGATGATGGCGCATAGAGTAAATATGACTACACACAAATGTGGAGTTGCTTATTGACATTATATTTCTTCATGCATGTTTATTTCAATTACCACTGATTCTTCAATGCAAATTTATTTTGATAATAATGAAGGGAATAGCAATAATCATGGTGATTTCTACCGTATAGATTATCGAACAGTGTGTCAAGGGGACTCAGGGAGTCCCATGGTCTTCCTCTCAAATTCATCACGGGACAGCCACTGGACAGTGGAAGGGATTGTTAGTCACTTTTTCCAGAAAGGTACTTGTTCCATGAGACGCCCTGGACAGTATGGCATTTTCACCAAAGTCAATAGGTGAGTTCGGGTTAATCCAACCCAAATTGGTCATTCGCATCCCTGTCCTCCCTTCTCATCAAAAACTGAGTTTTTCTCCTTTTTCCCACCAGGTTCACCCCATGGATCAAAAGGGTAATGTATAGTGGCTTCTGACTAATCACAATTGATTTAATTAGATGCAAAACCTTGGTAACTGAAATGAAAAAAAAATTGTCACAGAGTCTTCTGCATTTTTGTCAATGCACACACGCGCAAATACACGCAAATTGGCTCTGCATCCACAAATTCATATAACTGTGTGCATGGCTCGAGTCATACCATGCATGTCCGTCACGAGACTCGTTGAACTATTCAGTTGTTGACTGTGGTTCTTGCAAACTGACTCCAGCTGGGATTAATTCTGCCTTCCTACTGCCTTACCTATTCAATCCTAGAACTTTGGGAAGTACCACGGCGACCTACCAAAAACGATTTCATCTTTTTATTTGTTCATAGCGGCAAACGTATGAAACGACTTTGTATAGGGTTTGTTTAATCGAACTTGCTCTCTCATGACGCAGGCTGCCGGGTAATTTTCAAGGATTGGCTCTCTCCCTGCCCTTTTCCATGTTTTAACTTAAGTTTTAAGCCACTCTGCAAGGTGCTTGATGCTAAAATCAGTTCATGGATTTTCTCATTAACTTCTCAATTTCCAGATGAGGCAGATACCTACAAATGACATCCATCTTTCCTCTCGGCTCCAGCAAATCTAATAAATTTTTCCCTCTATAGCATACCGGCAGAGGCCGTTTAACTAAGGTAACTCGAATATTTTCATATCATGTCGATAATATGCGGAATGTGTCTTCCTATGGTCTTCCTAACAGCTGATAATTTCGCAATTCATTTAGTGATGGACTTTTGAATCTCCTCGAAAAGTTATCTTAATCTAGGCCTATTGGATGTTGGCTCTCTGTTCAGCAGTGGAGTAGTCCGTTTGTAACACTCGACTCGCTAACTATATCATGGCGCTAAGACGTAAACTTCACGTCGTACCACGCTGTTGCAGTAGAGCCCCATTCCAAACTGCGTGATTAAAAATATTCGAGATGTCCCAGTCGTACAGTCGTTCTGGGTGTATGTAATCTGGAAGCCAGAAATGTGTCGTTCTTGCGGAGCCGAGAAGAGAAATGCATACGTAGTACGATTTATACGCCTCTGCCTCGTACGAAATCTGAAAAATATTGTGGATTTTTCATGTGCCAACAGGAACCTAGACGACTGTTGACGCTAATTCTATGTTCTGGATATGATGGAAAGTTTAAATTTTAGTATATCCTCTGAATTCCTTAGTTAGGATATACTAAACCATAAACAGGTGTAGTTCATGCTCGTATTTCGTAGTTCCTCTTAATTCAATAATGCTCGTGATTTGATGATTGAAGTATCCACATCCGACCGCATTGATCTGACATCGCTAACCATCGTTTCAATCGAGGAACGGCTGGCTAGCGATGCTAAGAAGAACCCTAAGGCTTTTTATCGGTATGCTAGTGGTAGGTGTCAACAGTCGATCGGGCCGCTAATGAACGAAAAGAGGGAGTTGATTGCAAGTGATAAGGATATGGCCAGTATACTTAACGAGTTCTTCGCTTCCGTTTTCACTGTGGAATCCGACTCGGCACCGACTTTGGAGGAGGTGACCTCGGCGCGCATCGAGGATATTTCCATCACCGAGGAGACGATCGTGAATATGATAGGGAAGTTAAAGGTGGGCAAGGCGACCGGCCCCGATGGGATTCCTGCGAGAGTCATTAAGGAAACCGCGAGAGAAATATCGGTTCCGCTAAGAATTATATTCGAAAGCAGCTTTTCGCGCGGGGAAGTACCTAAGGACTGGAGACGAGCAAACGTCGTACCGATCTTTAAGAAGGGCGAAAAGAGTAATCCAGGAAATATTTCCATCACCGATGAGACGATCGTGAATATGATAGGGAAGTTAAAGGTGGGCAAGGCGACCGGCCCCGATGGGATTCCTGCGAGAGTCATTAAGGAAACCGCGAGAGAAATATCGGTTCCGCTAAGAATTATATTCGAAAGCAGCTTTTCGCGCGGGGAAGTACCTAAGGACTGGAGACTAGCAAACGTCGTACCGATCTTTAAGAAGGGCGAAAAGAGTAATCCAGGAAATTACAGGCCGGTAAGTCTCACAAGTATCCCAGGGAAGATCATGGAGAGCATACAAAGGGACCATATCTTGGATTTCCTCTAAGGAAACGCGCTTATTCGGGACTCTCAACATGGCTTTAGGAGGCGTCGAAATTGTCTCACCAACTTGCTCGAATTCTACGATTGGGCGACGGAGGAGAGGGATAAGGGGAATCCTGTGGACATCGTCTATTGAGATTTCGCGAAAGCTTTCGATACCGTTCCTCACAAGAGGTTGCGGGTTAAACTGGAGGCGCACGNAAGAAAGCCATAATATATCGGGCAGCCAACCCGTTTGGTTAATGGGTAAAATCAAAGCTCATCAGGCATAAAAAGCGGAAATGGGATGCGTACAAGCGCAAGGGAGACGGGTGATGATAAATGGGGAAGCGTCGAAGGAGGTCGGAGTGGCAAACTGCGTCCCCCAAGGCTCGGTGCTTGGACTCCTTTTGTTTTTGGTCTACATAAATGATTTGGATCTCGGTGTAGTTGGTAAGATAAGTAAATTTGTCGACGACACCAAGATAGGTTTTACTGTAAGGAGGGTTGCGTATAGGGCTAGAGCCGCGCGAGATTCAAGTCTTTTGGATGAGTGGGGCAAGAAATGGCTCATGAGGTTTAATAAAAGAAAGAGTAAAGTTCTCCACGTCGGTCGAAACAACGGTAGGTCTCTCGACACGTTCGACGATGTTAAACTGGGGGAGGCAAACGGAGAGAGATTTAGGAGTTTCTATAGACGATGACCTGAAGTTTTCCTCCCGCACAAAAGCGACAGTAGCCAAATGCAATAGGATTCTAGGTTTCATTCATCGTTCTGTTGCAAGTAGGACTTAACGCGTTATTCTTCCGTTGTATGCGGCGCTGATAAGACCCTAGTTGGAATGTTGCTTCCAATTTTGGAGGCCTACAAATAAGGACTATTTCTTTGCGATCGAGGGGATACAGAGGAGGAGCTACAAGAATAATTAAGAAGGTTAGGGGACATCCGTACGAGAAGCGATTAGAAGTGCTGAGTCTGTACTCCCTAGAGAGAAGGTTAAGGGGGCATAAGTATGAGGTGTGAGCTACCGCGCCGCAGTGATCTTTGCAGCGTATGAGGTGTGAGCTACCGTAAAGGCTCTTCCCAATATTTGTGATTTGGACTGTTTCGTTCTCTTTTATCGTTAAGTTCAATTTCTGAATGTTAGCGCCATATCCCGCAAGAAGGTCTTGAATGTCTTCTCCGGATTCAATCCTCTCCACCATACCTCGATGAGGTACCGCTCCTGAAACTAGATGCTTTCAGGGACAGGCAAAAAGGTGGGGGGGGGGGGCAATGTTGACGTTAGGTACTTGACAGTAAGCAACTATGATAGTAAAAAAAATACATAAATATATAGCTTCAAGAGGGTTAGGCCTACCCTAAAATTAAGGAACGCTCGACCTCGACATGTGATATCGAAATGGGCGAAATCGTCTCTTGATATCACTAACTATCTTGAATCTTGAATCTTGAATCAATCTCAATTCACCCCATGAAACCAGAAAAAAATGCGCCGTACATGAAGGAAAGCAGAATATCCAAGGACCGATAAGGTGGCTGAGGCGGTCCTGAATCCGACAAATCCAGCACGATATCCAGCAACACATGAGAACCGGGTTTCAGTGCAAATCCGAGATCATCCAGCTCACGTTCTGATCGAATAGGCATTAAATGACCCATATTCAAAAAACGAGAATAAGTATTCTCCACAACTCCGGGGGAGATGGAGCTTCGAATTTCTTGAAGCGATTCTGCATTGAGATGGTGAGAAGCATGCCCGATTTTGTTCCTTTATATCTCTCTGAGATGAATACAAGGACGTTTGAATTTCATGAAAGGGCCACTAAAGCCTTTAATCGCGAATGCCACGATAGTCTACAATGGCGAATGCCAAGAAAGTGTTCATTCACAAAATCCCACTATCATGGGTCGAAGGACATCTTCTCCACTTGAGCAACGTGGCTCTCTTAATTAGATTTTTCTTTAATCATCCTGAGAAGAGGCGACGTGTCGACCGAAGACCGGGATTAAAGGCGCATTGGGAATTGTTACACGGACCTTCTTGAGCCATAAGTTATGTTACATCACATTTAAATCTTTGCAACATCTGCTGCATGGTACTACTTAATGGAAAAGGTACCTAGTCAGAAGGTAACAATTCTCCATTCATTTAAAGGCACTAGAATAACTTGAGCCAAGAGTTTCTTTGCCTGAAGGGCAAATCGTGTGTAAGCATGATGATGCTAAGATGTGGCATGTGCATTCATGTCGCAAAATAAACCGATTGAAACAAAATATTGGGAGCACGGAGAAACCCACCTCGAGGATGCAACTTCAAGCAATGAAAAAATATAGATTATAGAGTGATGAAATAAACGCTCCACCGTTTTCTATGAGAGAAATACAGTTTCATGGATGCGAAAATGAAATTATACGTCTGCTATGCAATAGACATTGCAAGGGTGAAAGGTTCTGATATGTACGACATCTTTCTTTCAGCACCCATCACACCCAATTGGTGTGATGCCCATTTAAGGGTGATTTGAAGGTACTAAGAGGTTGTGGAGCATTCCACTTTGAGGCAATTATATGTGCTCGGCCCTCTCAGAATTCAATGAAATTTGGTAAATGGTCGGATTATTTTGAGAATAGCGGGCAGACAAAAAATGTATGTATCCGTACTTCCAGATGAGGCGGCGATATTTAATGATCAGAAGTTAATAACCAGCGAAATGACTACAACGAATAGATGCTGGCAGACGAAGCGCTCTAGATCCGGAGAAATTCCGACTTTTCCTTCAAGAAAGGACGCAAAACCAGCATTGTAGAAGGGGCTAAGCACGTGAAAGAAAACTCGCTCCGTGGATACCCCCGACCGATCCCGGAGCCCGCAGGGCTTTTGGCAAGACTGGATGACATCCTTGTATTGATCCTTCTGCGACCCTGGCAGGCTCCTCCCTATATATCTTACTCCGCGTCTCATCACGCCTCCTCTCTCAAGGCCGTTCCTTACACGATACACTGCAGTTAGCGTTGAGCACACACTCTCTCACACGCAAACACGCTTACGTGAAGGCCCTTGGAAGAAATGCAACAATTGAATGGAGGATTCAGATTAATGGCAAGAAGGGAGCTTCCACCGTTTTCTAAAATACTGTAATATCTCCGGTGTCCACGGCACCGTAAAAAAAAATTAAAATCCGACTAAAGCATGAGAAACAGTAACTCCACATATAGCGCGAAAAAAAGTTTCCGATTCATAGCGGAAAGCAAGTCTCCTAGTCTCTCACTTAAGGCGGTGCGGTACCCTCCTTGAAAAAAGAGCTAGCTATGAAACGCTTCATAGATGTCGAAGAGTTTCTCCCACCCTCTCAAACCCGCTGGCTTCGGGTCTTGGGTAAGTACTAAGGGGTGGAGCATAAGGTCAAGGAAGCCCATCCCCTCCCTCTTCCCCTTACCATTGCATGTCCCCCTCTTATTGGGCCATACCCTCGTTTGCATGAACAACGGCCGCGTTCCAAATGAAATCGGAATGCAGGCTCAATATGTATAATTTAATGTATTCTTATCGGATATATTGGATCGAATCTAGGTATTTCAATCAAGCTGCTTTCTTTTTTTTCATCGACGTTGACATAGTCCAGGTGGCTGATTGTTACGAATTAACATCGATTTCTAATTTTTCTTCCTTAGTCCTAGAATGAATCCCGTCATTTATCACATGACCCACTGGGATGAAGAGACCTTCCAGCTTCTTTTGTCTCTTGTAAAAACTACTTTTCATTACACAGGTACTTTTCTTCTCTCTCCCATCACTTTTCTTCATCCATTCTTACCCGTAATATTCCACGAAGTAGGATGAACAAATTTCGCAAAGGAAACGAAGTGGGATGACAGAATCGCAGGAATTTTTCCGAAGCCTTAGGGAAAATCCAGGTTCATATGCTTTCTTGTCAGCCTTTGTTACGATAAAGATTCGGAAATTCCCGAAATGCTATGTAGGAGATCACAACGTTCCATTTCGTGGCAACGCATTTCATACCTCCTAGGTACTGGGCTCTTCCGTTATGATTCCGACGGTCTATTCGATCTTCAGGAGACTCAAATTCCGTGTCTTCCCTCTTACTAGACTATTCGCCTCACGAGCTCGCAAAAGATAGACGAGTCAGGGCTACGTAAAAAAGGGGAGAGGAGGGAACTGACGGACATAGCCCGCAGCGAGAGCGAGACGAGTCCAATTGGGAATGCTCTCTTCTCGGGTTCTCGCTGTGCAGCGTCGCAGTGTCTCTCGAGAGATGAAAGCTTGTCCCATGCGTGTCTCCAATTAATCTCCTGTGGCGGCTGCCTCGACTTCATCATTCCCCAGGAAGAAATCTCAGGCTTCTTGAAAGGTACCCTCTCTTTATATATTGGCGAGTTTACCCCAAAAAAGGGCAAGCAAACTCGCAATGCCCACGCCTTCGCGGCTCCACGATGCAAGTAAATCTGATGGCTCTTCGTGTATCAGTTCAGTCTTCTCTCACTGTAAAAAATAATTCCGACTAAGGCATCGGAAACAGGTCTATTGCCCGAAGGGGATTCCGATTCATAGCGGTAACACGTCTCCTACAGTATGTTTTAATGTAAACATGCTGTTACTAAATAACCCCGGGATCGATCTCTCTGTCTAAAGCGAGTAATGAAGTTCTCCTCTCATTTCCAGAAAGTTCCAATCCATAGCCGATATCGTGTTTCCGTTCATTGGAGTGATTTTGGGTTTCATTCGGATATTCTTAACTTGCGTCCATTATTCAAAAAACGGTTTCTTTCTATTCGAAATGCTGCATGATGAATGAATATTCATGATCATTTCGCGACCTTTCCTCATTAATGCGTGAGGTATTGGTGCATTCCTATCACAGAAAAAGTTGAAGGTACATCCACTTACGCAATCTTTTAGGATTTCTTTTGAATCGTTTTGATGTAAGACTCTGCTTCTCGCAGAGTCTTATGCTTCTCGTCCCTCTCTCTTCTCAAAGAGAGAGTGCGAGGGAAGAACGAGCAAGTCCTGTGTTTCTTATACTCTCTGTGTCCTTGATGTGTGGGCCGGAGGGCAACCAGGAAATGTAAATGACCTCGGGCTTGCCGAGTTTCAGAGCATAACTTTTGCTGATGGGGAGAGAGAGTCGTGATGCTCTTCGTATCCCCCCGTATCCGATAGGGAAATGAACGCAAAATTATTTTTCTTCTTGTTTCTGAAAACTCACCAGAGTATCAAGATCTCGTAAGTCAGGAGATATCGAGGGTTAGTGGGAATCATCTACCATTCGGCTTGGAAACTAAAGGTGTCGGGTGCCTTCCTGAGGGTGTCGATACGGAATGTTCCAAAGGATCAATAAGGTTTTTCCGAGAATATTCGAAGCTGGCTTTTCCGAAGGAAAAATATCGTTTGCTTGAACGTCGGATTTCGAATGTCCCTTAGATGCGTGTCTTCTGCTGGTGGAAGAGAGGAAATATAGAAAAGGAAAATGCCTGTGTTTGTCGTGATGTCTTTCGTACGGTTTTTATCCATGCTCATACGACACTTCATCCTGATTCTAGATCGCGTCTCTATCTCATGGTTTTCCGACGACCAACTAGGAAGGAAGACAGAGATCGTTTTATTTATTCCAGATGTGAAGCTTTTTTCTATTTAAAACATTTATTCCTCGAGGGTCTCGCGAAAAGGATATCGAAGGAAAGATGTGAAGCTTCGCTTGTTTCTCAATACGAAATTAGAAGGAAATTTTGTTCGTTTCTCAAACAAGGAGAGGCCGTGCATTCCTCCGCTACTAGGCATCTCTGCAGAGAAAGAGGAAATAACTTGAAGGGAAAGAAGTCGGAATATGTTGATTTATTCTCCTTTCCATATTATAAAAGACTGGACGAAAAAAAGGGAAGGACAGCAGTTAAAAAGGCATTCCTATCCATTACTATTCGGTCATCCTGGATAAGGCTACACCATCGAAACTGAAGCCTGGCATCACAAGGTCATATAGCTTTCTCACGTCTCACGTCTCACGTCTCACGTCTCACGTCTCACGTGAAAAAAGACATCATAACTCTTCCGCTTCTGCTGGGGGTGCGGAGGGATGAAGACTTTTCTTGCATGGGGTTCAAGGCGCTTGCTTATCGCAGCGTGTTAGAGAACCCATTGGGAATCCAGTAACGGTCAATTTAATTCGTTACTTAATATCTGAGGCTTAGGATAAAGTGAGCGATTCCGACCTTTACATCGAATCGGGGCACCGAAGGGTCGAAACGCACCGTGAGGGAGACGAAAGATTACTTACTATTTGGTCGAAGAGATTTCTGCCAGTCTTTGACCTGGTGTAACAATTGAAAATTGAATTTTCTTAATAGACCTGCAGATGATCCTGCGCAGTGCTAGGAATGTTGAATACGAGGGAATTTGCTTGGCGTTATGAAGTGTAGATATCAACCGCTCAGCTTAATCAAACTGTTCGATCAAGTGGAAGTTATTGTGTTAGCTTTCGAGAATAGTGTCTTAAGTCAATCTATGGAGGGACTGTTTCACAATTAATGGGACACCAGAAAGAGATTTTTACCTTAAAAAGAGAGGAAGTTATTGCATAAATTGTTTCACAATACTAGTCAATACGCTGTAAAAAAAAAAAAGTTCCGGATGTTTCCAAGTTTTCATCTTAAAAATTTCGAAGAGCAGGTACGCTTTATTCCCTCTAATGGACTGAACATTTTTCCTGCATACCCTCGAAAATCAGACATCCATCATTTTATTTGTGGAATGTTCCCCTTCTTTTTCACCAAATATTACGACTAAAGGACATAATCTGTATTCCGACCTTTAAGCGAACGATCCTTTTCCTCATCCGCGTCGGAATATTCTACTTCGAATACTCTCGGATAAAAAGTCCTGATCGTTCGGACCTTTCATCGTGATGCTTTGGAATACCCACAGTTGCCATTCTCAAAAAGAAAGGTATTTTTATGTGTGTTTACCTCTCGGATACATGGGAAACGAAGAGCATCAGGGATGCTTCTTCCCGTTGGGAGAGGAACTTCCGGGAGAATCTTTAGTTGAGTTGCATCCATATTTGTTTTTTCCTGATGAAAAAACTTTTCTCATTGTAATTTAGTCAAGTATTTCCAGCAATGTGCCTTCATATTCACCCCTCACTGATGCCTAAAAGCTTCTTTTTAATCCACCTTCATGTGCGAAAAATGTTGAACTGTTGTTTGTTCTGTGGCTACGTGGAGGTACCACCTTTTCGACTGTTTAGGTAATGGCGATATATTAGAGCTGGATTTCAAAATGAAAATAGCATGAGTTCGCACATGGTTCACATTCTCTGACATTTATGCATGGACATTTCCATTCTCACTTTTCTGCCACATGTGTAAAAGCATCTTTCCGTTCTAACAGGAATACTTGTCAAACCTACTTGGGAAAACTTCCATCACCTAAGAAAACAACCCTGAAAGGATAGGCAGCACCACGAGCCTTTTCCAGCCGTCCTCCGATTGCCAATTATATAATGAATCCATCATTGACCGTCCTATTCATCTTGTTTCCCTTTTTTGTGTCTGCGATAATGGAGCAGACATGCCCCAACGAAGACACATCACCCTGCACATGCACCAAATATTCGGATGGTGATGTGAGAGTGGATTGTTCGAGTGCCAGTTCTGCTGCTGCAATTTCCTCAGCCCTGACGAAGGACTCATGGCCCTCCATTCAACTCTGGTGAGCGCAAATTCTCTTGTCTATCCCAATACCAGGAAAAGAACGGCTCTGAAAGGATGCACGCCCTGCTTAGCTGACATCATCTCGATTTCCTGTCTGTCAGGGCCCACATCTCATGGACAAAGGAAAATAAATGAGATGCAGGACACCCTCTCCCTCTTCTCACATTTTCTCTTGGAGAAGAGAAAGTAGCGAGAACGGGCCGCGGGCTTTTCCCTCACCGATAAGAAATTAATCTCAAATAATACCATGAGTGAATAGTTACAACGTAGTTACAGCAGTAATAGTAAAAATAAAATACAGCTTTTATGTGATATGGATTCACCAATAACTACCGGGTAAATGATGCATATCTCGAAATGATCATGAGATTACGATCATCATGCAGTATTCCGAGTCGAGGTGTTAATGGGTGTTTATTGCCAAAATTAAAGGCTCCATCTTCTTAGATTTCGTCTTCAGGCCGGTCGCTTGCAGGGTGCGACGCAGGGTATAGACACTGACCCCCACTTCGGTGGGGCATTTAAGCTCTTGCGCTATCTGGATGGCAGATTCGTTCATCCCGAAGTTGAATAAGCAGACCAGCTTTAAGCTGGTCAGCCGTCGTGGGCTTCACTGATCGACCACTATACTCGTAAGTCTTCCGCGCATTAGGCTTGGTCTTACCACGCGTCCTTTTTACGGTAATATGGCCTGCACCCAGTTGTGCTGCAGTTTTCTGTGACGAGAGGCCGTTCTGGAGCAGAGGAAATATGTTGTTGCAAATTTCTCCATAAATGCGTTTTGTGGCGAAAGGAGTAGTGAAGGAAGATAGAGAGAGTTGGTAATAAGCGCAGAAGGTGCAAAGGCTTCGTTTTTGTAAGTTTGGCGACGCTGGAATGGGTGGGCCGCAATCAACAAATGCCGATTGCTAGGACTTAACACAAGTCGCAAAACTGGTCCAATGGCACATGCAACTTTGAGAGCCCATTTCTCCAAGAATACAGACTTGTTCAAAATACAGTGAATGGATATTGGAAGCCAAGAATCAAGACTATCCTCCCTCCAAGCATGATTCGAATTGATTGGATATTCATGCAATTAGTAGAATGCAAACACGAAAACCAAAAACATTGTACCAATTTTGCTAGTCATTGTACATATAATCGAGAACTGTTACAACGAAAAATTAAGCATTTTAAAAGCATTTTAACTCAGTTACTAAGTTATAAACTATTTCCTTATCACGTTGCATGTCAAACGTACACACCTTGACCTTTCTCCATGCAGGGAATTCGTCATTGAAGACAATGTGGAAGTAGCAGAACTCCCGGAAGGAATATTTGGGGATCTTTCCTTCCAGCGGATATTTATGAGAAACACTGCAGTGAAGAAGATCCATCCAACAGCCATCCTCCCTTTCAAACGGCTCCTTACGTACCTCGCCATTATCGATAGTCGTCTGGAGAACTTCCCTTTTCATATTCTTCATGAATTCCGACATCTGCGAGAACTCCGGCTCTTCAACAATCTGTTGACCTTCGTCCCGACTTTCAAGAGCGAAAGTCTAGAAATACTGCGCCTTAACAGCAACAAGATCACGAATCTGGCGTTCGATGGATTGGTGACTCCCAAATTGACGTGGCTCGATCTCCACGACAATTGGTTGACCTCATTCCCAATCTCCAAAAGCGACAGCTTGGAGCTACTCGGTGTCGGTGGCAATAACATCACCAGTGTGAAGTTCGACGGGTGGGCGACTCCCAATTTGAAAAAACTCTATCTTCACAACAATTTCTTGACATCTGTCCTGGCCTTCAGGAGCGAAAGCCTAGAAATACTTAGTCTTGATAACAATAAGATCACGAGTGTGGACTTTGACGGATGGGCGACTCCAAATCTGACGCGGCTCGATCTCGACAACAATTTGCTGACCTTTGTCCCGGCCTTCAAAAGCGGCAGCCTGGAAATACTTCATCTCGATGACAACAAGATCAGGGGTGTGGAGTTTGACGGATGGGTGACTCCGAAATTGAAGGAACTCCATGTCTACAACAATTTGTTGACCTCGTTCCCGGCCATCAAGAGCGAGAGTCTAGAAATTCTCAATCTCCACAACAATAACATCACGAGTATGGAGTTCGACGGCTGGGCGACTCCCAGATTAAGGGAATTCAGCATTGGTGAGTAGCGGTATTTTCATATTGGTTTTTGATTTCTAAAATTTAATAATGTCTCTAAAATGAAATGAACGCATTCCCGAAAAGAAAGTTATGGAAGTGAAGCCGTATAACCATTAGTTTCCAAATGCACTTTTCCGTCGAGAGCCGCCACAACTTGACTTATCGGAAAAACTTGCAGCACCATATCATACTAGGCAGAAGCTAATATTTTTCCTTTGCTTTAACCCTCATCCGGTTTCCTTCTCGCGGACGAATACTCATAAGAGCCCCAGCTCGTGAAAAGTTATTTCTGCTGTTTTTTTTTTTGCGGGATTTCCTAAAAAAAATTACTTTCCATCGACTGGAAGTGCGAAAAGCAAGGAAGGTTTTCATTTAATTTTCGGGAACATTAGTCGAAATCCAAGCGAGAGAGAAGCGGTTTTCACCGGGGAGGTATGAAGGAAAGAACATGGACTCGGCTTTCATCTTTTACTGATCGGCAACATGAGGAAAGGGACAGGTCTTTAGAGCATTAAAATAGGATTTCCCTCTGTCCTTGAACATAGAATCGAAATCAATATAGAAAGTATCCGCTTCGGCTAAACGAATAGGCCATATTTAAAAATCCCCCGGAACACCGCCTATGGAACGGCCCGGGGGCTCCCGCCAAACTTTCCGCGTTTGCAGCCTTGATGAGTAAATGCATTGCGAAAAGTGAAGCGTGGGCTGAAGCTTCCCGTAAAAGTCAACATCGGATTCCATTATTTCTAGTCACCATTCCTTAAATCGTAATTTTGCATCTCTTCAGCATAATTATGTACGACGCCGCCGAAGAGACTTGAAGCACTGCATGACTCCATTCAGGAGAATCAATTATGGACGGGCATTCAGCTCCAGGCTTTGTTGCAGCAGTTCCAAAAAAATGCATCAGAGTTTCCCTTCTTCTGGATCCTTTACATTATGAGAACCACTGTTAAAATACTGGAAGTGCGAAAAGCAAGGAAGGTTTTCATTTAATTTTCGGGAACATTAGTCGAAATCCAAGCGAGAGAGAAGCGGTTTTCACCGGGGAGGTATGAAGGAAAGAACATGGACTCGGCTTTCATCATTTACTGATCGGCAACATGAGGAAAGGGACAGGTCTTTAGAGCATTAAAATAGGATTTTCCTCTGTCCTTGAATATAGAATCGAAATCAATATAGAAAGTATCCGTTTCGGCTAAACGAATAGGCCATATTTAAAAATCCCCGGAACACCGCCTATGGCCAACCCGCCAAACTTTCCGCGTTTGCAGCCTTGATGAGTAAATGCATTGCGAAAAGTGAAGCGTGGGCTGAAGCTTCCCGTGAAAGTCAACATCGGATTCCATTATTTCTATTCACCATTCTTTAAATCGTAATTTTGCATCTCTTCAGCATAATTATGTACGACGACGCCGAAGAGACTTGAAGCACTGCACGACTCCATTCAGGAGAATCAATTATGGACGGGCATTCAGCTCCAGGCTTTGTTGCAGCAGTTCCAAAAAAATGCATCAGAGTTTCCCTTCTTCTGGATCCTTTACATTATGAGAACCACTGTTAAAACTCAAGGAACACCCCACTGTATGTCAGCCCTATGGCCTACGTTCTTCCCAAGTCCCATGAAATAAATACCCGTCATCATGTCATCCGAAATATTTGCTGGAATTTACTGGGGTAAACCGGATAATAAGATGTTTCTGTTACCTGCTCCCTTTGAAAGGGAGAAGAGGCAATATTCATTGGATATCATACGAGATTAGCTCGTAGATTAGCTCTCGTCTCGCCATCTTCTAGATGAAATTGGAAACGAGAGTTGCCGTGGTTTTCGAAAGGGAACGCTGGCATTGCTCACTGTACTACCTCCCGCCTGGTACCGGGAATCCAAGGATTTCAAGGGTCCATGAGGAAATATGAGGCGATTCAACAGCTCGTCGCCACATGGGTTCACACGGGCTTTCGAAAAGGAACCCATTACCCTAATATCCTCATTTGTTATCATGCAGATTTTCAGAATGGCACGAACCACGCAAGGAGGTCGGCGAGAGTGAGAGTTTTTCAAAGGGTTGGATTGTTTTCCCGTATCGCAGTCGCATCGGTAGATGGCAAAAAATACAGGTGTTTTATTTTGGAGCCGCGATCTTGCGGAAGAAAAGCAACGAATGACAATTTACAGATCGTCGCTGTGCTGCGTATTGCATCTTACTTAAAAAAAAAGGAGGTAAGCGTAAGTGAAGGGAGGGAGGTAGGTGTACTAGCCCACGGTTCCTTTTAGTGCCTAGGTTACTTTGGATATTCGAAGTACGTATACTGTAGTGGGTGCATCGTGTATTTGGCTTTCGAGAACGCTCCACGCGTTTTCAAAGAGGTCTTTGGACGTGCAATATGCAACGATGAGCACATTTTGCGCGCTCAGAAGAGGAGCCTTTTCATCACGAATCAAGCTGCATTTAAAGGACATTATTCGCAACTTTAAGAAGCTCTCCAACGTAAACACCAATAGTATCCTGACAATAACTTGAAGCCAAGGTTAGTACCATCGACGGTAGATGGCGCCAAGGTAAATTCCATTAAACTTGTCATTTCCTGATATATCTGGATTCATTCCCCTTATGCATAAGGTAGCATCTCTCTCCACATAAACCATCACAGTCATGAGCGCAGGGCTCTATTTAGATTGAATGCATTTTATGAGATGAAAAGAACGTAGCCAAAACGTTAATTGCATATCGGATGAATCCTCGAAAAAAAAAGTTTTATTGAACACTTTCCCTGGAAATATCACATTCATGTAGTTCAGGGAACGCAAAATAAGAACTGTTTTTCATTGCTTTATATTTTAACATTTAAGCCGTCAATAGAATGTTCCCAATGACGTTAATGGAACGCTGGGAATAACGTGAATGAACCGTTCATTGAATACGTTTAGGTGCTACTGCGGTGGTAGTCTCGGAAGATCATGGTGATTCCTTCCACGCCAACAGAGCATTTCATTTCCTCCGATTTGCAGTAGGTCTACCTGCCACCAGAGCTTAGTGTAAGAATAAGGTTTTAAGTTGCAGAAGTTTGAAAGGGGAACAGAGCAAAGCCTCAAAACTTAAAAAAAAAGAAATGAGCATTTTTTGGGGAGCACCAGAATGTCCATTGGATGGGATGCCACCTATTCGACGAATGTTCTTGACAATAACTATCGAGAACTAAGGAATGTACACTTTCAATGCAAGTGTGATATGCGACGCCTCAATGAGACCGAGCATTTTTTTCTTTAATTCTATGAAGCAAAGGTGTAGCTGGTTGTGCAGCTTTTCCGCATCTCGTTGATCTCGTTTTGTTTCCATACAGCAAAAAATCCCCTTTCGAGGCTCCCTTCTGAAATAATCAAGGGCATGAAGAATCTCGAGAAATTCTTTTCTTCAGAGTGCAATCTGGGTCCAACCCTTTCAAGAGGAGTCCTGGAATTCAAAAGCAACGCCTTGAAACTGGTAACACTTTGGGGAAACAATATCTCCAAACTGGATGAAGAACCCATCACAGGTATGATTCATGGTTTGATCAGATCATGGAAAATGCCACACTTTATTATCATCATGAGTATTGGCTAGGAAATTTGACCCATGAGGTGCATGTCGAGACGCTTCCAATTGAAAACCAACTTCGCTGGCTGACTTATGTCAGATATCTCGTTGTTGGTCGTGGAAGTTGAAAACTTAATTTTCCTCTGAAAATTATTCCATAAATAGGGACAAAATCCATTATTGGATGCGATTAAGAATATTCCCTTCAATTGGTCATCGAGAAAAGCGACATTACGAGTATGTCACAAGAGAATTAAGTTGTCACTCTCCTCAGATAATATACGTGTTCCAACGTCGCGCGGACTGGAAGTATACTTTTCCGAGAATTTATTATGTTTTCTTTCAACTGCATCACTTCCATGAATGAGATGCCATGGAACACCGGGCGCTATGAATCATTCCCCGCAACACTTCGAAAATCGATTCGGGTCATCTACCCGCGCGATTGAAGTATTCGCATTGTTCTCGAGGTCCACGTTCTCGTGTTATGTATGTTTCGTTGCAAAACTACGACAGAGTTTCTCTCACAACTCGTCCTCGTGGGGGAGAGAGGAATTGTACGTCTCGTGCATCCCCCTCCCCACAGCTTAGGGGGTGTTCCCACTTCCATGCGGACGTTCCCGCTTATAACACTCGGAGTCCCCTTTCATTCGCTGTAATAAGGAAGACTACCTTGCCGGCATTAGATCTCGGCTCCTTTATCGATCGGAACATCATATTCGTACTGACCGGCACTCTCACAAGGAGAGTTACTGCCGAAGATGATAGCGCCGGGATTACGTCTGGATGAGATGGGATAGAAGCACTAACCCTTGGATTGAAAAGATGCCGCCGGCCGCGTAGTAACAATCACGTTTCTCAAGCGTATTTTTACTCATAGGCCTACGTGAAAAGTGATGGAGATGAGATTTACGCACGATACGCACAGGGTCGCAACCGATACGAGATAAAAGTGCTGCTTGATAAAAGTCTATATAGTAGGCGTGAATACCCCGTGGGTAAGGGAGGAAGAGGGGGGGATGCGCGAGACGTACAATGTCTGAGCGGCTGTTACGTTAAACGTTAATAGAGCCGCTGACTGAACTCGTGAATACCCGAAATTGCTACACTCTTGGCGGTGGTGACTGCCTAGGATGAAAGCAGCATGATTCCATATTTATGGGATAGAACAGGCGCCCGCCCCATGGATCGGAAAGTCGCCGCCGGCCGCGTAGTAACAGCCTTGTTTCTGAAGGATAATTTTTCACTCATAGACCTACTGTACATGAAAGTCTGTGGAGTTGAACTTTACGGACGATAAGTACAGGGGCACGATCGATACGGGATAATAGTGCTACTCGATAAAAGTCCGCATCGTAGGAGTGAACACCCCCGTGGGTAAGGGGGAGGGGGCCCTATTTTCAGTGGGAGGCCCTATTACATAAAAGGGCTAATAGGGCCTCTGACTGAACTCGTGAATACCCGAGAATGCTACACGCTTAGCCTCGGCTGACACGGATTTCGTGGATGTCTTCCACAGCTTGGGGTCTCCGTTTCGCTCTCGAAATCGCACGAAATCGAACCTTCATGACTGTCCGATACGTCCTCGAGAACGGGAGAGTGCGGCTGCCGCGTATTTTTCAAGGACCGTTAACTGAAATCGTGGATTCCCGACAATTTTACACGGTTAGCCAAGGCCAGAGATGTCAACCTTGATTAAGCTGGTGGATGGATGGAACCCTTCAAGAGGGGTTTGGTTCACATTAGCAAATCTTACACTAAAGTTTCGATTGCTAACAGATTGAAAAGCCCAAGCTTCTCCAAAGTAAACTGTTGAAGAAGGCTTTCCGATCCGGACGAAATCAACTAGCTGGCCGGGAATTAGACACCCTTCTTCTAGATCGACCTGAAATTCGTGGAAGTCTTCCACAGGTCATTCTCGAGGACGGGATAGAGTGGCTGCTGCTTGCCGACTAAACTCGGGAATGCCCGAGAAGCGATTCGTGGAAGGCTTCCTCGGGTTGGGGTGCTCGTCTAACAGCTCGTACTCCTCTCCGGCCTTCGTGACTGTCGGATCTGTTCTTGAGATTGGAGAGAGATTAAAGTCATTGTACGTCTTGCCCCCCCCCCCCCTCCACCTAGGGGTGTTCACCCCTCGATACAAACTTTCACACGGGAAAACTCAAATACAACACTTGGAATCCCATTTTCCTCCGCTCAGAGAATAACTCCCGAGGGATCCCATCTGGGTGGGATAGAACAGTGGGGCTTATCATAGGAACTCCAGGACGCCACCAGTCGCGTGGTTACCATACCGTTTCCATATTTGTATTTTTCACTCATAGGTCTGCATGAAAAGTGATGGAGATGGACTTTACAGACGATGCAGACGGGGTTGTGGTGTCGATCAATGCGAGAACAGGGTTCCGGTCAATAAAGGGATAGAGCAACTGCTGCCAATAGCGTTGAGAGAACCACAGAGTTTTAGGACCGCCGAATGTACTTGGAGAATCTTGTCAAAGAGTTAGTGGAAGTCTTCCGCGGGTCGGCTAGTTTACTTGTAACTATATATGCATGCCCATGTATCTGCTGAACGCAAATGATTCAAGTAACGAACTTTCATACCAGATGCAAATTAATAATTCGTAATGTACTGGATGCTAATGAACAGTTTGCCAGGAAACCTTTGTAACTATATATGCATGCCCATGTATCTGCTGAACGCAAATGATTCAAGTAACGAACTTTCATACCAGATGCAAATTAATAATTCGTAATGTACTGGATGCTAATGAACAGTTTGCCAGGAAACCAGAGCCAGAAATACCCAACCGAGCTCAATTGTTTTTAGCGTAATTCTAAAGCTTGATATTTTTTCTGCCTCTCAGGTGACTTGATTGAGAGGATCATGGGCAGTTTTTTTTGGTGATAGTGAGGAAAAACAAATAGTAGACCGTTTGCGCGCGAACGCATTTGGGAAATCGGAGTTCGCTTCAACCCAGCCTTGAAGCGATTCACAATCTGGTAATAAATGCAGCGCCACTCTGAATGGCCTCACGGAACGCGTCCGCGCGTATACGATCCTTTACTCGTTTTTTTTTCCATATTATCAATAAGAACGCCGGTTATGATATTTTTCTCAGATCACCTGAGAAGCAGAAATAAACAAGTTTTACAATGATGCTAAGAACACTGCGGTTGGTGGCAAACTTGTGGCTTCTCGACCCCTAATAAAAGGTTCTTGCCACCCAGTACACTGTCTCAAAAATGGATGGGCCATTCTTCGATTTGTTGCGACTTCTTGTTTATTTTTGCTTCTCAGGTGATCTGAGAAAAATATCATAACCGGCGTTCTTATTGATAATATGGAAAAAAAAACGAGTAAAGGATCGTATACGCGCGAACGCGTTCCGTGAGGCCATTCAGAGTGGCACTGCATTTATTACCAGATCGTGAATCGCTTCAAAGCTGGGGTGAAGCGAACTCCGATTCCCAAATGCGTTCGCGCGCAAACAGTCTACTATTTGTTTTTCCTCACTATCACCAAGAAAACCGCCCATGATCCTCTCAAGTCACCTGAGAAGCAGAAAAAAAACAAGCTTTAGAATTACGCTAAAAACGATTGAGTTCGGTTGCGTACTTCTGGCTCTGGTTTCCTGGCAAACTGTTCATTAGCACCCAGTACATTACGAATTATTAATTTGCATCTGGTATGAAAGCACGTTACTTGAATCATTTGCGTTCAGCAGATACAGGTGCAGTGACAAGCGATTGGCCCAACTTCATTGCGTCGTGACCCGTGACAATTTCCCCAGAAAGTTGCTCTAAAACTTTTTGATTCGTTTCTTATTACTTCCAGGCGTCTACTACATGCCATCAAGTCAAGGGATTCCTCGAAAGAAGCCTATTGGTTTTCTACTTCGTTCGTCGCATGTCTTTTTTAATTTGCATTCCAGGTCTAGGACCAAATACCGAGGTTCAACTAACCAACAACGAAATCGTTGTATTGTTTGAGGGGATCTTCCATCCAATGTTGGACATCCTCTCGAAGGGAGATGGAGTCCTCTATCTAGACGGTGAGTTTTACGGTTTGTAACCACTGAATTATATGTTTAGTTTCTTTGCTAATTCGTTCATCTGCTTCTTTGCTCTTTCTGTCGTGTCCCTATTCCAGGCAATCTTATCCGATGCGATTGTGACATGTCATGGCTGGTTCTTAATCGGAAATTTCTTACGAGCATTTCTGGGAAGTGCCACAATGGAACCGAATTCAAGAATTTGGATTTAGATGTTATGAAAGACTGTGATCTTCGATCGAACTTTCCAACACCCAGAACTCAAGGTGATGTCTCCAGTTCCATACTTCCAAGCTGTCGCCATATGGTTTTCAAACGTTTTGTTCCGGGCCATGCTAGGGGTGAAGGAGAATGTTTGGACTTTTTTTTTTGGTCTTCGAGACATGGCAACTTCGTTGCCTCGAAGACCAAATCAAAATTCAACTGCATTCAAGAAATGCGAGCTCATTCATGCCTTTTAAAAATGTATTGTAGATATTGTTAGTGTTTCAAGATTTCAGCAAGATGGAAGGGGCATATTAAGCTTTACTTCCATTAAATTTTAAAGCATGCCATGTAAAATTATCCAGACAGTCAGCATCTAAGGCTTCCTGCTTTCTCAAGTTAGCCTGACATTTAAAATAAATGAGTAGTTATTCAGCAAAATACATAAGGACTTCATGGACACCCTGTATTATGGGAGCAAGCGTTATAGAATCCAAAAGCGGTTTATATCAGTCAGCCCAAACAAAGAGGACTGCGTCTATTTACCACCCTCTCCATCCAGGGCTCTGAAGGAAACAATAGCTACAAAATAGGCCCAATACATTANCCCCCCCCCCCCCCCCCCTCCACCTAGGGGTGTTCACCCCTCGATACAAACTTTCACACGGGAAAACTCAAATACAACACTTAGAATCCCATTTTCCTCCGCTCGGAGAATAACTCCCGAGGGATCCCATCTGGGTGGGATAGAACAGTGGGGCTTATCATAGGAACTCCAGGACGCCACCAGTCGCGTGGTTACCATACCGTTTCCATATTTGTATCTTTCACTCATAGGTCTGCATGAAAAGTGATGGTGATGGACTTTACAGACGATGCAGACGGGGTTGTGGTGTTGATCAATGCGAGAACAGGGTTCCGGTCAATAAAGGGATAGAGCAGCTGCTGCCAATAGCGTTGAGAGAACCACAGAGTTTTAGGACCAACGAATGTACTTGGAGACTCTTGTCAAAGAGTTAGCGGAAGTCTTCCGCGGGTCGGCTAGTTTACTTGTAACTATTTATTGTAACTATATATGCATGCCCATGTATCTGCTGAACGCAAATGATTCAAGTAACGAACTTTCATACCAGATGCAAATTAATAATTCGTAATGTACTGGATGCTAATGAACAGTTTGCCAGGAAACCAGAGCCAGAAATACCCAACCGAGCTCAATTGTTTTTAGCGTAATTCTAAAGCTTGATATTTTTTCTGCTCCTCAGGTGACTTGATTGAGAGGATCATGGGCAGTTTTCTTGGTGATAGTGAGGAAAAACAAATAGTAGACCGTTTGCGCGCGAACGCATTTAGGAAATCGGAGTTCGCTTCAACCCAGCTTTGAAGCGATTCACGATCTGGTAATAAATGCAGCGCCACTCTGAATGGCCTCACGGAACGCGTCCGCGCGTATACGATCCTTTACTCGTTTTTTTTTCATATTATCAATAAGAACGCCGGTTATGATATTTTTCTCAGATCACCTGAGAAGCAGAAATAAACAAGCTTTGCAATGATGCTAAGAACACTGCGGTTGGTGGCAAACTTGTGGCTTCAGACCCCTAATAAAAGGTTCTTGCTACCCAGTACACTGTCTCAAAAATGGATGGGCCATTCTTCGATTTGTTGCGACTTCTTGTTTATTTTTGCTTCTCAGGTGATCTGAGAAAAATATCATAACCGGCGTTCTTATTGATAATATGAAAAAAAAACGAGTAAAGGATCGTATACGCGCGAACGCGTTCCGTGAGGCCATTCAGAGTGGCGCTGCATTTATTACCAGCTCGTGAATCGCTTCAAAGCTGGGGTGAATCGAACTCCGATTCCCAAATGCGTTCGCGCGCAAACGGTCTACTATTTGTTTTTCCTCACTATCACCAAGAAAACCGCCCATGATCCTCTCAAGTCACCTGAGAAGCAGAAAAAAAGCAAGCTTTAGAATTACGCTAAAAACGATTGAGTTCGGTTGCGTACTTCTGGCTCTGGTTTCCTGGCAAACTCTTCATTAGCACCCAGTACATTACGAATTATTAATTTGCATCTGGTATGAAAGCACGTTACTTGAATCATTTGCGTTCAGAAGATACAGGTGCAGTGACAAGCGATTGGCCCAACTTCATTGCGTCGTGACCCGTGACAATTTCCCCAGAAAGTTACTCTAAAACTTTTTGATTCGTTTCTTATTACTTCCAGGCGTCTACTACATGCCATCAAGTCAAGGGATTCCTCGAAAGAAGCCTATTGGTTTTCAACTTCGTTCGTCGCATGTCTTTTTAATTTGCATTCCAGGTCTAGGACCAAATACCGAGGTTCAACTAACCAACAACGAAATCATTGTATTGTCTGAGGGGATCTTCCACCCAATGTTGGACATCCTCTCGAAGGGAGATGGAGTCCTCTATCTAGACGGTGAGTTTTATGGTTTGTAACCACTGAATAATATGTTTAGTTTCTTTGCCAATTCGTTCATCTGCTTCTTTGCTCTTTCTGTCGTGCCCCCATTCCAGGCAATCCTATCCGATGCGATTGTGAAATGTCATGGCTGGTTCTCAATCGGAAATTTCTTACGAGCATTTCTGGGAAGTGCCACAATGGAACCGAATTCAAGAATTTGGATTTAGATGTTATGAAAGACTGTGATCTTCGATCGAAATTTCCAACACCCAGAACTCAAGGTGATGTCTCCAGTTCCATACTTCCAAGCTGTCGCCATATGGTTTTCAAACGTTTTGTTCCGGGCCATGCTAGGGGTGAAGGAGAATGTTTGGACTTTTTTTTTTGGTCTTCGAGACATGGCATCTTCGTTGCCTCGAAGACCAAATCAAAATTCAACTGCATTCAAGAAATGCGAGCTCATTCATGCCTTTTTAAAATGTATTGTTGATATTGTTAGTGTTTCAAGATTTCAGCAAGATGGAAGGGGCATATTAAGCTTTATTTCCATTAAATTTTAAAGCATGCCATGTAAAATTATCCAGACAGTCAGCATCTAAGGCTTCCTGCTTTCTCAAGTTAGCCTGACATTTAAAATAAATATGTAATTATTCATCAAAATAGATAAGGACTTCATGGACACCCTGTATTATGGGAGCAAGCGTTATAGAATTCAAAAGCGGTTTATATCAGTCAGCCCAAACAAAGAGGACTGCGTCTATTTACCACCCTCTCCATCCAGGGCTCTGAAGGAAACAATAGCTACAAAATAGGCCCAATACATTCCTATTCGTGAAAGTCCCGGACCTGAATGATAAACCCTCGTTACCAATGGATCAAGCGTTACTTCTCCGTGATAGGAGAGGAGGGCAAGTAAAAATAATTTACAGTCCCTTCTACCTTTCTGCCGCACCCAATTTTTTTACGAAATTTCTCTCCCCGAAGGCAGCAACCTTTTCATAACCGAACTGGCACATCTTTTCCCCAAAAAGGTTGACTTTCTCCCTCTTTGGACTTTCACCTAACTTGATGACGAAACATAGAGGTCTACTGGACATGTCAGCGCGATGAAGGACCTCACCAGAACAACGAAGCCTTAATCAGAAAGGGCGTGAGAAAGCCCGACTAGAGTGCAATGCTCATGCCTGGGAAGGACACAGTGTCGCTAGCAGATGCAATGGCCTGGGAGCGGCGCCGAACATCCCAGCTCTTGAATGCCCAAGTAAAACTTAACCATTCTGTAAGCACATCAATATGACGCACTCATATCTCAACTCTCTCGGATGAAACATATATCACATATTCATAAAATATATTCATGTTATATATATATTGAAACATCCTACAGCTAGCCCACTTCGGAGTTCATCCAAACCCGGAATTCTATATGTCTGCTGTAATTTTCTTACACCCGAAAAAGATCCCATGCCAGCGGGTGCGATCTATCGGCATAAGAATAATCGATGTCCCCTGTAGGGTTGAGCAAAAATATAACATGTTCATTAATTTATTCATCCAAAAGTTAATTAATCATTCCCCCCCGATGGTACCTCTTTAGTGCTCACTCTTGGATAGGGCAACGCAGCCTCCTTGACCTCAACGACGTACTTGACATCAGATTACTCATGAAATTCATTTCACTGCTTATAAGAATCACCCTGTACATCATACGGACAAGGTTAAAAAATTACGTAACCGGGCAAGAGGGATTTATTGGACCCCCTATAACGTTAAGTATATAGTGTGGGAGGACAGAAGGCAAAGACATGTCTATCACGAATAAATGTAATTCCTATATTGATTCCAATGAATTTCAAAAGCAATGCAACATTATTCAGGGTCCCAGATAATTTCTTTGTATACCTTAAGTAAAATTTGTAGCCGAACCACTAACACGGGGCGAGACCGACTTGACGTCATGTCTATGCCATACTGAATCATGTAATAACGTAGTTCCAACACGTCCCAAAATGATTTATAAAAAAAGGCAAGCACGAATGCACCAGGGGCAAAATCTATTTCTGGATTACCTGAATTTCACATTTGCGACTCTTCACTTCTAAAAGTCCTGCTTTGCTTGCGAAGCAGTCCTCACCCATAAGACTGATAAAAATCGGGGATTGCCCTTTTTTCTTCCTTTTTCTCTCTCATACCAGTTGTCAGAATGCTCTTTAGGCAAACATTAGGTGACAAGCTGTGAAATATGGGGGAATGAGGGATACACTATCGTGCGTGTATATGGAAAATACTGTAGAAAGGGTCCAATGGACCCCTTCTACTTCTTATGTTCGGTTACGTTAGTCAAATGAAGTTATTTTTTATTACTTTTGATAATATTTCAAGTAGGTGATTTTCTGGCGTCAGGGGCTCCTCGAATTAAGGGATAAATGCCGAAAATTGCAGGAAAATGTATGCAATAGTTCGAATGCTGGTTAGAAAAATTGAGGACTTGGGGTCCAATGGACCCCTAGCGAGGATTAGGGTTAAAGGAAATACGAAGAGAACCACCCTCGAACGGTACATGTGATGTATCAATCGCAAGCTCTTTATGAGTAAACTGCATTTTTGCATATTTTAACAGTGAGGAATGTAAAAGAAATAGTAATTTTCATGTGAAAACGTGTTCTGCAGGCTGGGTCAACATGGGGTGGTGTGCGAGAGCACGTTCAACATATTGGTAGACATGTTGAACGGAAGGGAAAGAGGAACAGAACTCCTTATGCCATGTATTCCCCCGAAATAATATTTAAATCACCTGGAAGCTAGGCACTCGTACTGTTTCACCATTGCATTAAGGTATTTCTCATGAAAACAAACTAACCTCAGAGAAGACGGTATGAACACAGATCAAGCGAACTGCATTCGTTCTGTTTGTTCGGAAGCACATGAAAATCAATCTATTTTGCAGGATGATATGTCAGTTGGATTATAAAATGATCGCCGCCGAAAACCGGCACCCATAGTGACCCAACGAGTCCATCCATCCACAGAATTGGTTGACTTTCTCACAATTTGACCTTTGAACGAACTTGGGAAAAAATATTATTGAGGTTCATTAAAAGTGCCTGCTCGATGAAGGGCCTCACCAGAACAACGATGACTATACCAGAAGGGCATAAGTAGACCTGACTCGAACACAGTGTGCATGCATGGGAAGGTCAGAGCACAAATAGCAGACGCAATGACCTGGGCTAGGCGTTTCACATCCCTGTTCCAGAATGCACACGGTGAATGTAACCATTATATCAGCGTGTTAACATTATACACTCATTCCTTAACTCGTCGGCTGAAACATATATCACTGTAACATATACATACATAATTTTCATGTGATACATATCTTACAACATTCTTCGGGTATCCTGTGCGAAGCTCAAAATCATACCTCATCCAATGCCCTAGTGTTCGAAATTTCAACTACGATTCTCACTTGAATGCAACAACTTGCTGGGAATTTACATACTTCTAGTTGAGGGTTTCCTGATGACTTAACGCACTGCGAACGTTATTCCATTTCCAATTGTACTTTCTCTCATTGCTAATTAAAAATTAACTGTGAATTCTTTGTGACTGTTGACATTTTCTTACCCGCGATGCGGATCTCGCGGGGCGGGGGTGCGGTCTAGTCTTTCATACTCCCTTCAATGAACATTAATACATACGAAACACTGCATTTTTTGCAATGTTGCTCTCTGTGTTAATGGCGCTTACTATGTCATAAGAAGTCGAACGAAATTCTAATTAAGGGAGTGTCCGCTTTCCAGTGCGATTGACTGGTCCGTGTCATTCATATCCATTCAGAGTAATATGGGTATTCGGATATATATGGAATTGGAAATTGTTTCATAACGCACGCTTGTTTGAGGTCATGCTTCTTTTAGAAACGTTGTAATTGCCTCTTCCTATTCATCAAAATTTGGCATTTTATCACTAAACCCCACTAACCTGATCATTTTTTTCTGAGCTACAAAATATCTAAGTGCCATCAGTTTTCACATAATCAAATAGCTGGAAATTCATCCCTCAAATCTTCTGAGACATACAGAAAATAGGTACACTTCATACATGATATGCAATTTATTTACAGCCATTGTCGTAAAGAAAACAACCCTTATGTACCAACTGCTATAGAGAGGACACAACAACCGAACAAAAATGTCGATTGGTCACATGTCCTGGAGTCGTTCAACTCCTAAAGAAACCCACAGGAAATTATGAAGGAAAAACCATGCAGACCCAAATCATCAAAACAACAGGCAAAATCATAGACTGTTTCTAATTCGAACTCAGTGGATGCACTTATCATAGTTACGGTCATAAAAGCAACAATACTATCTTCATTCATCAACAGGCGGAGCGATCGGATGCGTACAACTCAGCGCCATTAAACATGGATCCTTTACTTTCGAGTCTTGTGGCACACCATCTGAAGAGATTGCTGAAAGAAGCAATGCAAGTTGCATTCAAGATGAAACATATGCATTGTCGAGCATCGTTAGATACAGATGCGAGAAATATTATGAACTGCAGGGACCGGAATTCAGAAGATGTGAGGAGGATGGAGAATGGACCAGACCCACCCCGTTTTGTAAGCCAGGTCTGTTTCTTCTACTATAATATTCCCTGTTCACATGACACATCTCTGCTATTTCTGGATGGCTCCATGTGTACCGTTCTATTCGCAGTATGTGGGAAGAAAGAAAGTCAAATTCAACTATCAGCAGGAGGAAATGCGTCTGAAATCGGAGAATGGCCATGGCAAGCGGCCATTTATGACATCAAGAAAGAAGACGTTATTTGTGGAGGGGCTCTCATTAGGGAAGAGTGGGTGCTGACAGCTGCCCATTGTGTCGTTGTAGTTGGTACCCTCAGACCTCGGAAAACTGAAGAAGTTTTTGTCCACCTTGGGAAGTATTACCGATCTTATAACAAGACAGATGAACACGTGCAGATCAGAAAAGTTCTGTGACCTTCTAGCATTTTCAAATTTCCGTCAATTCTATCTTGATGGTGTAAACTGTCGCAATCTCCTTGCAGGTGTCTCGCATAATCTTGCATAAGGACTTCAACTTATATAGTAACTACGACTCGGACATAGCTTTATTGAAACTAACAAGACCTGCCGTGCTAACGGCGCGAGTTCAGTTGGTATGTCTTCCGAGCCGATTTGATTTATCTGAGGCAATCCTCGACAGTGGAGTGACAGGATGGGTAAGACATCAAATATATTAATATCTCTGCATTAAAAATCTTCGATTTTCTTCTTGTATGTTTTCTTCTACGATTGTGTAATGATGCAGGTGGCCGGTTGGGGTTATGACGGCTCGGATGAACTCGCAGCTGTCCTGACTGAGGTTCAACTCCCGGTGATATCCAATCGCAAATGTGTTTGGGACACGCTTAATTTCACGCGTGACCCTGGCGTCACTCGTACCCTCACCTCAAATATGTTTTGCGCTGGTTTTTCTGCGGATACTCCTTTTGAAGGTATGGTCCTGTAATCAGTGATTGCGTCAAATTCGCATGATTGCATTTTGAGATTCTCAATTCAGTTTTTCCCAATTCAATACACACGCCTCGTGTTTCCTGAAACCTCTTAAATGTTAGTGGACTCAGGTTCGGACATTATTTTGCAAGCGTGCGTTCGCCTACCAGCACCTGCATTGAAGCCAAGGGTGCATGATAGGCAGTGTGAATTGCCTTTTGAGTCCTATGAACCAATCTCGAGAGTGAGGCTGAAGAATGTTTCATCTCTCACTTCAAGAATTCCTGTGTGGAGCATTTTCGGCCACTTCAATTAATGTAGTTCAAAATGGTCCTTCCGAGGAATCCATCGCAATGCAGGAATGGAATGAATCCATATTTGTCACTATGAAGAAAGATTTTCTCATCTGCACATCATGCGACAAACTTATTTCCTCCGTTCTGCTCGGATTTCTCCGAAAAACATTCTTATAATGTAGGCGCATAACGGCAATCATGGATCGTCTGCAGGAGGGTGGAAAAGCCAGTCTTACGGATCGGAGAAGAGACAGCATTCAAGATAGTACCTTTCGCCAAGACTGGTGAAAGGGGTGAAACCTCAGATGTCAAACTAATGACAACTCTAGGAGGGTATTTTAATAAATAACTTGACAAGAGCACTAACAAATATAACGGAGTAGGAGTGATTTTGAACCAACTGTACACAAGGGGAGCAGTATCTGGTTCATGCCGCTACTGCCAGAGTTTGCTATTTGTTGGTAGTGACATTGCAGATTACTGTAAAAATGGCCGATAACAGTAAAGATGACTGCACATACGTACAAACGTTAAGTTATATATTGTCCTTAGATTAATTCATGTATTTTAAATACCACTGAACTTCACTATACTTTAAAAAAATAAGAAATGAAGGGAATAGCAATCATCATAATGATTTCTATTGCACAGATTTTCGAACAGTGTGTTCAGGGGACTCGGGAAGTCCCATGGTCTTCCTCTCCAATTCATCACGGGACAGCGACTGGGCGATGGAAGGGATCGTGAGTCACTTTTTCCAGAAAGGTATTTGTTCCAAGAGACGCCCTGGACAGTATGGCATTTTCACCAAAGTTAATAGGTGAGATCGGGTTAATCCCACCCAAATATGTCATTCGTATCACTGTCCTCCCTTCTCATAAAAAAAACGATTTTCTCCTTCTTCCCTTCAGGTTCACCCAGTGGATCAACACGGTAATATTTAGGGGTTACTGACGAATTACAATTGATTAAACTGAATGCAACTTGACAACTGAAATATATAAAAATTGTCACAGTCTTCTGCATTTTTGTCAATGCACACACGCACACAAACACAAATTTGCTCTGCATCCACATATGCACATATGCAGGGTTCGACTCATACCATGCATTTCAATCATGAGACTGGTCGAACTATTTGCTTGTTGACTCTGGTTCTTGCAGATGGGCTCAGGCTGAGAATATTTCTGCCTTAGTATTGCCTTACTTATTCAATCCTACAACTTTGGGAAGTAGAACGGCGACCAACCAAAGTCGATATATATATTTATATGTTTATAAAAGCAAACGGCTGAAACGACTTTGTTTAAGATTCGTTAAGTGAACTTGGGGCCTCATGATGACGCAGGCTGCCAGGTAATTTTGAAGGATTCGCTCTATCTCTGTCCATTTCCATGTTTTAACTACCTCAGTTTCACCTCTCTCTCTCTGCAAGCTACTTGGCGATACTAATATTTGCTCAGAGATTTTTGCATTCATTTCTCATCCTCCAGATGAGTCAGAGACCAACAGATGGCATCCATCTTTCCTGTCGGCTCCAGCAACACTATTTATATGTACCCAGGTAAATGCCTATAATAAAAAATCAGCAAAATGTCACTCATTGAGAGGTATAACTTCTGGTGAAATTGCTATGATTCGTAGGTGCAGTTATATGTGCAGTGTTGTCGCCGTCAAACGGTTACATCTCCTGAAGCAGTTGAAGGCCAATCTTAAATTTGGTATTTCATGAACCACGACTTCTTGACATAATAAATCTAAAATATATATTACTAGCGGCCTGCGGCCGCTACGCTGGCCATCTATCTATAGTATGTGAAAATTTGAATCGTCTATTGTGAGCGTAACGTATTCTTGACAATCCACTGTTCATTGCATTAAACATTTAGAACTGAACCGCTTCATTACATTTATACACATATAGCTAACAGTACACAGGGAGATTCTGCTCCTAAAAATCATCATCATGATATTCGAGCTGATTGCCACAATCACCATTGTGAACGCCTTGGTTTTGCACGTTTTCATGAGACTCAAGACTATTTTGCTGATTTCGTCTTCCTAGCACATTCAATACTCTTGTATCACCGATTAACTCATGGGCTATTAGCGTTAGCTTATGGTACTGACACCAATGATTCTGAAACAGTATGGACCATTTCCAAGAACTTGTTCGACGGCACAGAAAGAAGTTAGTGTATGTGCGGCACAATGTTAAAGACTAATTCTTGAAAATGCAAACCTTGCATCAAGTTGCTAATCTTGCTGCACGGCTCTCCAATTCCAGAGCTCAGCACTCGCTGCCTCTTGCTGTTCAGAGGTCTGAGCGGCCCTAAGCTCCCTACGTACATGTGCTTGCTGTTTATCATCATGAAACGCAAGCAGAAAACTATTGCATGGAAGCGATGTCCCGAACCGCCACGCCTGACCTAACGGAAAAAATAAATACAGAAAAAAACACTTGATCAAAGAATGTATTCAGATGGAGAACTTCCGGTAAATCGGTGAAAACGTGACACGCATTCAGTTATTACCACACTTTGACACAGCTAAGTATGAAGCCTATGGCTCAGACTGATATAGCTTGATGGACCTGGCGCTAAAAGTGTTGGATGGCCAAGCCTATGTACTACTAGTAGAATAACATAGCCTGAAGGACCTGGCGCTTTGAGAGGTGAATGGCCTAGCTTTTGGCCTGAAGTGACATAGTCTTGTAGGCCTCGCGCGCTCGGGTGACGACCCCCACCACCACCACCACCACAACTTGGCCGCCAAGCTTTTGACCTCTTCGAATTAAAGTATTAGATTTCATTAGGGGTTCCAATTGCCGCAATCCCAATATTTATTCTAATTATTTATGTTTTGAGCCTCTGAAAAATCTTAAGGAATCGTTGGATAGATAGGGCGTCCAAACACCAATGATGGAGCATCCCAGCCCTCCTTTTGCCACGATTCCTTAGTAACGACCCTGGAACGATGATTTGGGCGTAGTGAGCTGGTTCAGTTTCCTCATTCTTCCCAAACCCCACATATTTTTTGTTTGGGGAGTTGGAGGTAGGATATGGAGTACGCTTCACAAACGGCGACGATTGGAGAATTGAAGATGGAACTCCAGGACAGTTTCAACTTTCAATGGACGTGTGAGCTAATGAATGCCAGTTGGTTTCTCACAGGTGTCGCGGTTGTTTAACCATTGATGGTGGCCATTTTGAAAACATGCGTGAAAACGGCTTATGATGTGAGAAATTTTCTGGGTCTCAGTCCTCAAGAAAATCAATCATGGGAATGATTTTCTATGGAAAGAAATAAAAGTTATGAGTCATTTATGTATATGAACAGTTTATACGTTTTTATGGACACCCTGAATCAGATAATTTTCACGAGAGATCTAATCGGCATTCTGATTCAGTGCAATCAATGATTCAAAACTTGCCAAGATAAGCGACACAAAAAGTTATCTGGATTCAGATCGAGAACGAAGAACACTTCCGAAGATGTCTTTAAACTTCAAGGTAAAGTCGCCAAGAAGCACCTTAAGGAAAGCGATGTTTTCCAAATTATACTCTGAAGAACGGCATGCCAGAGGAAAAGGATGGGAATGACCGCGTTCGATCGAAGCTGATGAAGTCGCATGGCAACCGTGTCTGCGCCTCATCGACCCAGGCGACTGGGTCGCCTAAGCGGGGCGCACCAAGCGCCTACCTCCAATGTCCACGCTGCATATATGCGCTGGAGCGCGGAAGTGCTGGGGCGGTCAGATAAGCAGGGGCGAGCCGACTGCTTCTAGTGAGGGCACTCTCATCGCTAAGTACTTCGATCTTGTTTCAATGATGGCAAGGTTTCTGCAGAATGTAAGTCTCGTGAGAAGTTTGGCATGCCTATTTGACACAACCGAGTCAAAATTTAAAAAGTTCCCATACGCTTCTTACCATGTATACCATGTGTATGACTTCTCTTCTCATCCAGGGCCGTTTCCTCGTCTTCTTCTTGTGCCAACTGACTGTGAAGGGGGAAAACCTCAGAGGAAAAACGTATCGGCAGCTGGATGGGGTGAATGCGAGTATTATCTATCCTCTTCTGGAAGTTTTTGTCAACAGCACTGTGATCTGTGCAAATTTCTGTCTGAGGTTCTCAGTCTGGGTCATTTTGCCTGGCGAAGTCGGATTTCAATTTAGGTGGATTATATATTTTTTTGTTTTGCATTTTTTTTTTATTTTGAAGGATCACTGGGTGCAGGGCCTTTTCATTGGACATGAATGGGGAAGCAGACAATTTTGCGTGTCGACTCGCAGGAGCCAATTCTCAAGTGGGGACGCCTGGCGGCGGTGTCGTCTCGGAGTTATATTACGAATGTGAGAAATGCAAAAAACACGCTTATACGCGAATGAATGAAATTGGACTGGATGTGAGGCGATCCACTTGCAGGCGGTGTCGTTCCAGAGGGCTACGTCTTCGCGGCGATGACGGGCGGGAAGGTTCACTTCCTGAAGGTTTCGAGCGACGCCCGCAGTTACGCGGATGCACTCGCCGCCTGCGAGGTCGAGGGAGGGCGGTTGGTCATGGACAACGGGGGTCAGGCGTGGCACGACCACATCAAGCACTACATCGCGTCTGACTTTTGGATAGGGGCTGACGACAGGGACATGGACTACATCTACACTTGGCTGGACGGTGAGGAATCGCTGTGAAATTTAGGGACCGATCTTCCCGCATTCACATGATTTTCGTTAAGAAAAAATTATTTCTCAATTCTGACAGGTACTACGTTGTCGGTTCCCTTCTGGTGCCCCCAGCAACCCGACTTTTACGACTACGGCGGCGGCGGGTCTGAGCGTTGCGTCTACATGAGAAGCACGTGGGGCGAATGCTGGAACGACGCGTTGTGCAGCCAGTCGCGCCCATCGCTCTGCCCCCCTTACCCCCATGCCCCCTTACCCCTCTGCCCCCCTTACCCCCCTGCCCCTCTTATCCCCC